CTAGAAGAAACTGACTCTATAAGACCAAATACGAATATTGTATTGTCATAAGGAGTTATCTCAAGTAAACAATCTTACTTCTACAGATGCTTCAAATGCAGATAATGTTGCATTTGGGTTGCAAATCACATGGCAAAACCATTAGTAAAGATGTCAGGAGCCTTGCAACAATTGCTTTGGTCTTTATTGCTAGACCTGCCCCCTTTATTTATGGAAACACTCCAGAAGGCAATGCTGAACATCACATGCTAAATAGCTCTGGGGTACAGCTGACTAAACTGCCAGGTACAAAATCAAGATGGAATCACTGTCTCTTATTGTTTGAAGAACTCTGAAAACCAATTAAGAACCCTGTAAGTGGCTCACATATGCAAATGTGCTTCTCTTAATTTATTCCAAGAAGAAGCTGCTGAACTGGATTGAGTTTTCTCTCTCTCCCTCTTATACACAGACCCTTACTTTCTGCAAAATAACATTGTGCACTTTTGATAAAATCACACTTCACCTTAAAACTGAACTTTTTTTTGGCCACCAAATCAAGTTAACAATTCAATAACAATGTACCTTAGAAGTGTTTGGTGTTTTCCCTTTAATGAGTTGTTTGGCTTTAATGATTTGTTAAGACTTTTTGTTTGCTGAAATTGCCAGGAGATGAAACGCTCCTGGGAGAGATCACCCCACAGTCCCTTCTACCCAAGGGGCATCGCTTTGAAGGTCTGTTTGTATTTTTGCATTCTCTTCTCCTGGGTATTGTGTGTGCGATTTCCCCTCTTTTTGGACCAACAGATAAAAATATCTCAGTTCTTTGCACTAATGGATATACAGTGCCTCATTTCTCACTGCAATCAATATCATTTAGGCACATAGGTTTTTCTCCCCTCCCCCAAATTGCTTTCTGATCAGGTAGGGCTTTTCTCAGTGTTAGTTCATAGAGAACATGCATTTTAAAAAGTGATGTACTATTGACTATTTGTCATTTCAAATAGTCTCTTTTGCAATTTTGTACGGTTTTATACAATTTTGTACAATTTTGTACAGTTAGTCCTCGACTTACAACAGTTCATTTAGTGACTGTTCAAAGTTACAACAGCACGGAAAAATGTGACTTATGACCATTTTTCATAGTTACGATCTTTGTAGCATCCCCATGATCATGTGATCAAAATTCAGATGCTTGTTGGCACCTGCTTCATATTTATGACCGTTGCTATGTCCCAAGATCATGTGATCCCCTTTTGTGACCTTCTCACAAGCAAAAGTCAATGGGGAAACGAGATTCACTTAACAACTGGGTTACTCACTTATCCACTGCAGTGATTCATTTAACAACGGAGGCAAGAAAGGTTATAAAATGGAGCAAAACTCACTTAACAAATGTCTTACTTAAGAACAGAAATTTTGGGCTCGGTTGTGGTCGTAGATCAAGGATTACCTGTAGTATTTATTGCATACAAATAGTCCTTGATTTATGACCACAATTGAGCACAACATTTCTGTTGCTAAGTGAGACAGTTGTTAAGTGGATTTTGCCTTGTTTTATGACCTTTCTTGCTACAGTTGTTAAGTGATTCACTGCAGTTGTTAACTTAGTAGCTTGGTTATTAAGTGAATCTGGCTTCCCCATTGACTTTGCTTGTCTGAAGGTCACATAACACAGCAATGGTCATAAATATGAGTCAGCTGCCAAGAGTCTGAATTTTGATCACGTGACCATGGGGATGCTGCAATAGTCGTAAGTGTGAAAAATGGTCCTAAGTTATTTTTTCAGTGCTGTTGTAACTTCGAATGGTCACTAAATGAACTGTTTGTAAGGGGAGGACTTCCTATATCTGAATAGGCCAGATTTGCTTAGAAACCTTTTTCTGGCACAAGGCTAGTAATCCCCACATAATTAATTGAAACCTTGTATATTAACCAGAGTAAAACATTCACATCACTCAGCTATATAACTAAACCATACTATACTGAGAAAATGTAGCTAGAAATCCCACAAACTTGATATCGATCTAGTTTTTCTCTCACGTTCTGCAAGGCTATGAGAATGAAAGTGTAAGGTGAGATTTAAAGAAGAATATATACCTTTTAATAAATAATAAAATAGATATTAACTATGGTAATATAAGTTGTTTGCCTGTCTTGCACCTTGGGCTATAACTCATGGCTTTGGGGGAGATGTCTGTATTTTAGGAGAAAAGACAAGGAAAAAAAAGTCATGGATTATTCATCATAAAATATTCTTCCACGATTACCACTAATGGCAATTGCTTAACGCATTGTAAGCCGCCCTGAGTCTCCGGAAAAGGGCGGCATATAAATCGAACCAATAAATAAATAAATATATATATTTAATTGAAAGCCAGGCAGTACACCACTTCAGCAAGGACTTTATAAACCATAGGTTTATAAGGAGTGCTAGTTGTTCTGTCCCCGTCTCACACACGCACAGAAACAGATAGCCAGGGGTTAAATAAAACTGGCAGACAACAAATTCTTTCGATAAGAGGATTGGCAGCAACCCAGTAGCTGCTTGCCAAGAACTTTACTCATAGAGGGAGGAGTTGTTCCTCCGACAGATAAACCCAAACAAGATACACACAGTTCAAGAATTGTCAAGTCCAGTCCGTATTAAATCCAAGGCAGATAACGTTGTTTCAAAGATACAATGTGACTTGCTAGTACTTAGTTTTGTCCGTCACAGAGTCTGAATGGCCACCTCACCCTCTTTTATCCTGTGGGGTGTGGTCCAGTGACTCAGCTTAATCTCTGGCACGCCTCCTTTTCTGCTGCGTGCGCTTGTCTCTCCGAAGCTGGCGTGGATCCAGCCAAGACTTATCTCCGTCACTGTCCGACTACGAGGAGATACCTGGCTCCTGGCCAATCTCTTCTCCTTTGGGAGACACCTGAGGCATTGCCAGAGAGGAGGGTCCTGGAGAGGGAGGCCTGGCCAACTCCTCTCCTTCATGTTCCGAGCCTTCTCCCTCCGATAAGTCGGCCTCGGGGGTCAGAGTCACAACACTAGTAAGCAAAAATTCTGAGATTGAAAACAATACTGTAGGTTTAGTAAATGTGTGAGAAAAACTTTTAGCACTCCCCAAGCCTGTAGTTCTAATCCAAAATATACATTTATCAAGGAAAGATGTAAATGGCACTCCAGAATGGAATGATTTAATGAAGCTGTATTCGTTGGGCACAATAAACCACAAACCGTCTAACTGCAATTTAGCCCAATCTGTTATGCAAATTCAGCCCACCATAGCTAGTTAATGATTTGTTCATAAACCTGGGTTTATAAACTATGACTCAGAGAAGTATGGGTTAATGCATCTAATGAACACAGCTTTAGATTTGATCAATAATCTTTAATGCAAACAATCAAGATCAAACATTTTGCTATAATGTATGATGATAAATTAGCAAAGCAAAGCTATGTTTGGCAATTACCTTTGCTGTTACCTGTACACTTGTGAACTTGTACCAGTGGTGGGTTGTCCCCGGTTCACACAGGTTCTATAGAACTGGTAGTAAAACCAGCGGGAGGCCCCGCCCACCAACCCTGACATCATCAAAATGCTTCTGCGCTTGCGCAGAAGAGCGCACGCGCAGCCCCGTTGCAAACCGGTAGTAAAGGTAAGTAGAACCCACCCCTGACTTGTACCTGTGTAGAAAGATTACAGAATCTATGGCTCTGTAGTTTGCCATGTTTACTATAGTAATGACTATCCTTGTATATCTTTCTATATACTAATTATTATTACCCTTGTATAATTACAATATTCATACACAGACACACTGAGGATAATCCTTGATGAAGTGAACTGTAATCCATAAAATTACAGTATGTCACAATTAGTGCTAAAGTATATGCAACCTCCATCTCTCTCTCCCTCCCTCCCTCCCTGAGAACTGGAATATGGTAGAAGAGGCCAGCCACATGCCAGAACATATAAGATGATTCAGACCAAATTTGACCAGTCCCCCCAAACTGAAAAACTAATCGTTCTAAACCTCTGTCAATGGGCAGATAGAGGGTCCCTAGCATTGCCAGTTCTAATCCTGCCTGCTAGTAAAAACAGGTGTACATTTGATTCTTATTTTCAATCAATGTCTTCTAGGGAGGGATGGTTGCAAATGAAAGACAAGAATGCGCCCAGACAAAGGCAGGGCAATGGTACAGTTGCCTCATTTTTAATTATTGGGCCTTTAAAGTTTAAAAACACCAGCATCACATGCATATGAAATGGCGGCTTTCTTAAGACCTAGGACTGCAATCATCCAAATACAACAAATGGGCCTTGTGAATTCCTGGGACACTTTACACGGGTCATTCTCTGTCACTGTGCCTGTGAAAGGGAGGGAGAGATAGCCAGGGTGATAATTTATTGCACAGAATTTATTTCCCGGGGACTTGCCTAATTTTCTAACAATTCTGCGTCCCGTACTAACGGGGCTGCTGAAGGCCTGTCAAACCCGAGTAGGGGCGGGAGAGGAAAGGGGCGTCTTTCCATGCAAGAAAGCCAGCAGCCGCGGCGGATTTTTTCCACAATTGCAGATGGTCCCTTCAGTTCCCACCGTTCTTTCTATCGGGGCTTTATTTTTATTTTTATTTATTTTATTTTATTTTGCACAGGAGGGTGGTGCAGCGCGTCTTTTGGAGTCTCAAAAAAATGGTCCCTTTCCGTTTGAGGCAGAGGAATGAATGGACGGGAATGGAAAGCCAACCAACTACACCTGACTGCTCCCTTTGGAAAACTCGCATCTCGGATCGTTCCCGGTCGGCGGAGCGTCCCCACCCTCCCCCTCCTCCCTTGCGGGCAGGTTAGGGTAGATCTGGGATTTTTCCTCCACGCCTTGCAAAACACAATGAAGCGGCGCGGCTCCTTTAAGCCCGCCCAGTTCCGACTGGGCAGGAGAGCTGGGCCGGCGCCCTTTGTGAATGGAGGGGGCGGAGCCACGCCGAGCCCGGGTATAAATTAGAGCCGCGGGCGAGGCGCGCCCAGTTTCCCAGCTGCTGATGCTCGGCGTGTCGGGAGCTGTTCTCCTGCAGGTCGTTCGTTGGGTGGGAGCTCGAAGGCACATTCGCAGCCATGCGTGAGATCGTGCATATCCAAGCCGGCCAGTGCGGGAACCAGATCGGAGCCAAGGTATCGTTTGGCGAGGAGAGCTTCCATTGTTGTCAGCTTTGATGATGGTCTCAAAATAAGAGATGAATTATATTGCCCTCCTGAGCTGAGGGTAATGGGAATTGTAGTGCAAAGGTTCTGGAGGGAAATAGGTCCGAGGCCGTCGCCTTATCAATTTTGGGCGTGGGAACCAGTAATTTCTGTCCGATTTTTGGAAAGGAGGCAGAGAAGGTAGTAGGTGGGAAGGAGGGAGGCGGCGGTTGCTGCGCTTGTAATAAATTCTATATAGTGCCACCTTTAATGCGGAGGCAGAGAAAAGAATTTAATCTGAAAAAACAAGCTCAACCAGTGAAGATGCTTTTTTTTAATTTATTCTTTTTCCCCAAAAAAATCTCAGAGGCTTCTGCCATGCTGGCCTCTTCCCTTCCCTGCAATCTTCTTAGTAGAAGTGGGTCTGCTTGGAGACAAAGAGGATCCCCACATTTCTTCCACTGGGGTGGGGAGGAAAGAAGCGAACCTTTTATTAGTGAAATTCTCTTTTCAGCCCCGTAGTAACAAGGCTTCTTAGCTGGGAATCTGGCTCAGTTTTAATAACAGCCTTTTGATTGCCTCACCCATTTTCAGAGGATGAAACCTGGTTAAGAGGCGGCCTGCCACAAAGGGTGTGGGGTTTGCAGACAAACGGTATGAGTATAGATTCTCTCCTCCAAAAAGGGAGAAAAGCCAAAACCACCCAAGTATAATTTTAATTTCTTGGGGGTGGGGTGGGGGTAATGATGCAATTCTAAGTGGCTTTTGGCCATTGCCACAACTGTAGTGCTGCAGATACCTATTGTAACAGCCCCTTTTTGTAAGGTTAAAGCTGCACTTGGACAAGTGAACCCCAGCAGCAGGGAGGTGGGCACGGCTGCAGAATGCGCTAAGGTGTGGCTGCAGCACGTGCTGGTGCAGCCTTGTTGGTATTTTAAAGGAAGTGGCGAATAACTCTCAAAAATCCCATTCCAGTTTTGGGAAGTCATCAGCGATGAGCACGGCATCGACCCCACAGGCAGCTACCACGGAGACAGTGACCTGCAGCTGGAGAGGATCAGTGTCTACTACAATGAAGCAGCTGGTAACCCCTCCTGTCTCTTGCTGTTTTGAAATGTTTGGAGGTTTTTGTAAATGCTGTGTGAGGTAGTAGAAATCGGGCAAAACAAACCTACACGGGGTAGCTTCGGATCAGAAAAGTCACCTTATCGGAATTGTATACCTTGTTAAAAAAACAGAATTGTGATTCTGCTTTTGGTTTGTTCCTCTTTTAAGATATTACTGCTTCTGATTGCATTGGGGGAAATGAGGCTGTTTTAACCCACTCCAACCTCCAGGTTAAAACTCTGGAAATAATGAAGATATTTATCTTGTCAACCACTAAGGAAAAGCCAAATCTATGATGGGCAGAAGTGTCTTTGACTTCCTGCTTTTAAAAGCTTTAATATCCTATTCCTTCCAACATAGCCTATGGTCTGCCTTCAACATGTCTGCCAAATCCTTCCCTGCTTCTGTCTCATAGGTTGGTGCAGAAGGTGAGAATGGGCAGTCCAAATTAACACTTTTCCTCTGACCAGCCACAGGATTGCAGTTTTACTAGCAATCAAGTGTTTATTCAATTGGGAAATGTTAGTAATAAAAAACAATTTGGGATTTCCATAACTGAAAGCAAGTAAAAGAAGCTCACAGATAAAATTTTCTGGGTTTATTCGTAAACCATGAATGAACCAGACATCTCCTTCCCCAGGAACAGACTCAGCTTTGCAGTCCAGCAGTACACAGTGGCTGAAAATGTCACTTGGTCATCCATTTTTTAAATTCTCCAGAGGGAAAGACTGCTACTTCCCAGTTTTTCATTTTTTTTGTCCAAAGCAAATGACAATGCTGTGGTCAAGCTTAACCCAAAAACAAGTAGAACAATCCAGCTAGAGTTCAGTTCTTTATTTGCTTACACACAATAAAAGAATCTTGCCAGAGAATATGTAAGTTATTCTCATCCTAATGGATATATACCCATTAGGGAGATTCTAAGGAGTGTCTGTCTCACTCTGTCTCCTATCCAGCTCCAGGCTGTGCTGTCTCTTGTCTGCCTCCCCCCCCCCCCCCTGGTTTTGGAATGGGCTCCCTCCTTCCTGGGAAACTGCTGCTTCACTGTAGTCCATCACATTACCTCCCACTCCTCAGGAACCATCCCTCACGGCTGCCATTGTGGGCTGGCCAGACTGCCCCTCCCTTCACCGTCTTTTTGTGCTTTTCACCATTCCTCCTCTTGTGTGGGTAGTGAAAACAACTAAGGCAGTTGAGAATCTCGTAAGAAGATTTGCCTCTTTCTGGAAATAAGAATAAATTGACTCCTTTATAAGTACTTGGTGTGACATGAGAGGTTTAGTTTAGACTCTTTAGGGCCATATTTAATTTTCTCTGGCTTAGTTAAGACTTAATTTCAAGTCTTAATTTTATATAGGACAGGAAATCACTGTGGAATTTTGGTGAGGTTATGACAATCTTTTTTTAACAAGATTTCAGGATAGTCTCGGAGCACATGGTACGTCATGCATGTTCTATGTAACTAAATGGTAATAAATCCAGAGTATTTTTAAACTATCAACTTTGTTGCTCCCTTCTAGTCATTATTAACTCCTGGCAATTGCCTGGACAAGTTCCTGCAGTTTTCTTGGCAAGATTTTGAAAATGGTTAGCCTTCCTCCAAGGGCTGAGAAAGAGGTTACTCATCTGGTTTTGTGCCCAAGAAAAGAACAAAAATTTGCAGTCTTCTGGTTTTTAGCCTGTTCCTTAACCACTACACCAAACTGAGTTTCAAAGTTGACTTAGTAGTTTTAATAATAATAGCTATTCCAGGTGGAACCTAGAAGTTATGCGATGTTGGAGTTAAGAGATTCTAAAAGATCCCTGGTAATCTGGGAAATATTTGGTCATAGAGTTCCATAATAATACAGTGATATGGAATGTTGGATTTCTATAGGCATCAAAGGGAAAAGGTGAATGCTATTATTTGACTGGATTATGGTCGAAGGCCATAGAGCTAGTCCTTGACTTACTACCACAATGGAGCCCAAAATTTTTGTTGCTAAATTAGACATTTATTAAGTGAGCTTTGCCCCATTATATGATCTTTTTTGCCAGTTGTTAAGTGAATCACTGCAGTTAAGTTAGTCACACACGGTTGTTAAGTGAAACTGGCTTCCCCATTGACTTTGTTTGTCAGGAGGTCACAAAAGGTGATTATATGGCCCCAGGACACTGCACTGTTTGAACCCACCTCTTCTCCTTTCCCAACCAAACAGTTTTTTCTCCCTTTTGCAGTAGAGAAGGCGAAGGTGAAATGTTTTCCCATTTCAAGCACTTTGGAGATGCAGTTTTGTTTCTCTGCACAGTATAGATAGCCATCTGAGACAAAGAGGCCATAATATGATGCAAGCTGGTGCAGGAAACTTAAAGAGAATATTAATCATGGCTGATGTGTTTGTTGTACTTCCAGAGTGAGATTTAAAAAAAAAAAACTGTTCCACAAAGGATTACTTAATGCCATCCTTTAAAACGTTGAAGTCACCAAGGGTACTGTAAGTTGGGAGGTATTTTATAAGGCTGTTAGATAAGGCTAGCTTTTGTTCTTCCCCACAGGAAATAAGTATGTTCCCCGGGCAATCCTCGTTGACCTGGAGCCGGGCACAATGGACTCAGTCAGGTCTGGACCTTTCGGCCAGATCTTTAGACCGGATAACTTTGTCTTTGGTATGTAATACTAATTATGCCTTTCTACGATTATATCTTAAATAGCTGCAGCATAATTCCTACTATTCAATTTGTTCTAAGTCAAAGGTAGGCACTATGAGTCCCTAGGTGTTGCAAAATTTAAATTTCCAGCAGTCCTCATCAATGGCCCCAGCTGCTAGGAACTATAGATCAGCAACACCTGGAGGCTTAACCTCCCTCTACATAAGGGGTATCAAACTCGTGGGCTGGATACGTCATGCGCTGGCCACGCCCACGCCTGGTTTAGCGAAGGGGAGGAAAGTTGCAATACCTCACGTGACAACACCATGAAGATGCGAGTTTGACAATCCTGCTCTACATCTTATAGATCTAATAAAATATATAAAAATGTACCATTTGTAAGATCCATTGATCAGTTCAGCCTCTATATAACCATAACCGAAATAAGCATCACTGCCTAGATAACAAAAAGATGGTATAACTACAGGCTGCCCTAATTAATATGATCACCACATTTGCTATCAGATGAAAAATCTCCCTGATCCATTTCTAATCTTTTACCTTCAAATTACAGAATATGAGAGATCTCCAAAATTTTGTATCTTAGACTAATGTCCTCCACTCTTTTTCTCCTAGATTGAATGCAGTCATTTCTCATCTCTCCATGCTGTAGATGTAGGATCGAATAACTTGACTGTTGCTGGGCCAGATGACAAATTTACCTTGGATTGAATTTGGTCCATAGATCAAACATGAATATTGTTCTAGCATTCCTGGCGTGTAAATGGTTTTGTAAGCATCTCTTTTCTTTCTAATTATTCCTCTAGGCCAGAGTGGTGCTGGGAACAACTGGGCCAAGGGCCACTACACAGAGGGAGCTGAGCTAGTGGATTCGGTGCTGGATGTAGTAAGGAAGGAGTCTGAAAGCTGCGATTGCTTACAGGGCTTCCAACTCACCCACTCGTTGGGTGGGGGCACTGGATCTGGCATGGGAACACTTCTCATCAGCAAGATTAGGGAGGAGTATCCCGATAGGATCATGAACACCTTCAGTGTAATGCCATCTCCAAAAGTGTCAGACACGGTGGTTGAGCCATACAATGCCACCCTCTCTGTCCACCAGCTGGTAGAGAACACGGATGAAACCTACTGTATTGACAATGAGGCTCTGTATGACATCTGCTTCCGCACACTGAAACTCACAACTCCAACCTATGGCGATCTCAACCACTTGGTGTCTGCCACCATGAGCGGAGTGACTACCTGCCTCCGGTTCCCCGGCCAACTGAACGCAGATCTTCGCAAGCTGGCGGTCAACATGGTGCCTTTCCCTCGTCTGCACTTCTTCATGCCGGGCTTTGCTCCCTTGACAAGTCGTGGCAGCCAGCAATATCGTGCCCTGACGGTCCCGGAGCTGACTCAGCAGATGTTTGATTCCAAAAACATGATGGCGGCCTGTGACCCCCGCCACGGCCGATACCTGACGGTGGCAGCCATCTTCCGGGGCAGAATGTCCATGAAGGAGGTGGATGAGCAGATGCTGAATGTCCAGAACAAGAACAGCAGCTACTTTGTGGAGTGGATCCCCAACAACGTGAAGACGGCCGTGTGTGACATTCCTCCCCGAGGCCTGAAGATGTCTGCCACCTTCATCGGCAACAGCACCGCAATCCAGGAGCTCTTCAAGAGGATCTCTGAGCAGTTCACAGCCATGTTCCGGCGGAAGGCTTTCTTGCACTGGTACACCGGCGAAGGCATGGATGAGATGGAGTTCACGGAAGCCGAGAGCAACATGAATGACCTGGTCTCCGAGTACCAGCAATATCAAGATGCTACTGCAGATGAGCAAGGAGAGTTTGAGGAGGAAGGAGAGGAGGATGAAGCTTAGAGGTTGAGTAGGGTTAGTTCATAGGCAAGTGTCCAAGGTGAGAGCTGTTCAGCTGTATGAGTGCATGCTTTTCCAGTTATTCTTGGTGCTTTTCACTGTTGCCTCTGTCAGCAGTTTTTGTGACCCTGCTCTATTACTTTAATATTTATAAACTGGCAACATGATTTAATTAGGGAGATACAAATCCTATTCAATTTGAGAGCTATGAAGTTGAACCCTTCAACAACAGGTGCTGGCAGTAGGACCAGCTCTACACTATATATTAAAATCTTAAGAATAAACTTGCTTCCATATTTATGCACCTATAGATTCTGCAGCCCAATTGGTACTAATTAAGATAATTCTCAAGGAAAATTCCTGCAGGGATTAAAGTTTTATTAAAGAGAGATGTTATACTTTATCTAAACTAATAAAGAGATTTACAGAGTGCTTTGCAAACAAAACAACTCTAGATTGGTATTTTTTAGATGTGTTGTAATTTGCAATTCCCAGATTTTCTAGATCGTACAAGATTTCTTTCATGGGAAACATAGGACCTTGCGTCCCAACACTTCTGGAGGGGATTACATTGGAGAAGACTTGCTTATCCCTCGTTATTGACCATTTATTTTGATTCCATTGGAAAGGTGGTAATCAAGAAATAAATTAGTAATAGCTTTCTCTACCAATTAGAGTAAGCAGAAATCTTTTTTTTTTTTTTTTTTTGGTCTATCCCATGAAGTATTTTTGCATATGCTAAAGAATATTCTACACAATTGCAGAGGCAGTAGGTAAACTTACTTTGATTGGTTTTTCCTTGTCTTGTGCCTTCACATGAACGCACACTGGAAAGAAGTGCTTACAGTTGCAATTAGAATTCTGCATGTAACTTGTAACACTTTGTGATTCAAACTGATCATTTCCAACTTTTGGGATCAGGCTCCTCAAAAGACACAAATATTGCAACAACTGGATTCTAAAACTTTTTTTTTATTTTTTATTTTTTTTTGTAATACAGGAAATCATTGGCTTGTAATGTTAGGAGCTTATTCCCTCTCACTTTACGAACTAAGGTATTTTTTTCATATTCGGAATCACTGTATGTTCCAAATCATGTCTTCAGCCTTTATCTTTAAAAAAAAAAACCTTAAGATTTTGAGGAAGAAACGAGCACAATTGGCAACTAGAATACTAGCAGAGCAGGCATGAATTCAGACAGCTGGAATTGAGCATGTTTTCTGTGGCACTGTCTTACGTTGCTTTCTTTTGTGCATTGTGTAAACATTCAAGAATGTCCGCAGTAAAATTCTACAATGGCTTTTGTGTGGTGTTCAATGTTGAGGACTCTGTATCAAGGCATGCATTTTGGAATAATGACTTCTGTTTGTGCTTTTCTTCAAGACTGAATCTGGGCAATAAAAGTATTTATTGAAACTTATGCGGCTCCCTTAACATTTCTCCAAAGCTTTTGAGATAATATTCCCACCTCTAGCAGTTTTTAATCATTTTCTATATCCCAGAATTGTTGGCATACATCAGTTTTGCTCCCATTTGGAGAAAAGATGGGTAGGGCAAACAAAGTAAGTTCCCTTGTTGCACTCTTTCCCTTAAAAATGCAGTTCATTGTTGCCAGTTTCAGCTGAACTATACCAATCTTTCAGGAACAGCAAAGAAGTAGGTGCTTTACACAAGAAATTCTTCTACCATTTTGTTAAACTCTTCCGCAAACCGTAGATGTAAATTATGTTTTCCTTCAGGCATAAAATGTAACCTGCAATGACAAAGGTTGAATAGGTTAAAGTATGCCAAGGAAACTGGTACCAGCCAACCTTAACTTGCCGTTTTCCAAAATGACACTAAAATTAGAAATGGCAGCCCATGCAGCCAATGGAAATTCCACTTTGTCATTCTAGGCATTGCGAGTTCTAGCACACCAAGGGAACACTGGGTTGCTAAAGATTACTGTACATACTTGTAAAGAGATGGAGAAATAGGCTGATGCAATAGAAACCAATCAGTGGAGGAACAGAAATACATGATCTGAAGCCAAATCATTGTATTTGTAAGTATCCTGTGGGCTAAGGCTGATCATTTCTTTAGGTCTCTGTAAGCATAGGTATTGCAATAGAACTGATTTGAAGAGCCTAAATAAGATTATGGCTGATTTTAACTCCTTCCAAAGGAAACACTGAATGAACAAATGTCACTTTCCCTTTGGTTATGCTGGCTGTGGGCGTAATGGAGGTTGAAGTCTAAAGCATCTACAAGCAACAGATTGGAGACCAATAGGGTCCTGGTTTTGTCCCATAAAAAATTTCCTTAGAAATATGTTTCTGTTCAGTGAAAGAAGGCTATAGATTTGCCTTACCACTACCAAAAGCCCATAGTCTGCTTTCTAAGAAGCAATTCTTGATGTTTCTTCCTGTAGTTACTTGTCTCAGACCATAAGTACCAACCTTTTTGACAAGGGCCATGATGGCGCAGTGGTTAGAAGGCAGTATTGCAGGCTAATTCTGCTGACTACCAATTGCCAGCAGTTCAAATGTCACCAGCTCAAGGTTGACTCAGCCTTCCATCCTTCCAAGGTCAGTAAAATGAGGATCCAGATTGTTGGGGGCAATAGGCTGACTGTAAACCGCTTAGAGAGGGCTGTAAAGCACTGAAGTGGTATATAAGTCTTAAGTGCTATTGCTGTTGGGCCTTAATGGCTTCACAATGAGTTGTTTATTCATTACATCAGATTCTCATCCCACCAGTAAAATATGAGACTTACCGTGAACCTTGGATATGCTTGTGGATGTATTCTGCATGAAAACGGGGTACCAATGGGTCTTTCTCACCATGTATAATTAGTGTTGGGCATTTAATATGAGGCAGCAGATGCTGACAGATATCACCTGTGGAGGAACAAAATGAACTAAAAGAATGCAAATGACCAGCTGTCTGCAAGGAATATAAATCCTTCCATTCCCCACCATCCAGTCAGAGCTGAAGAAGCTTCTTGGATGAGAAGTGAAATGTCTTCAAAGAAAAACCAGAAAGTCCAGTTGCCTCTTGAAAAAGCACCTTTGGGACAACCATGACCTGGATGACTGAGAATCTCTATAGGCACTGAACTAAAATGAATCTTTTTATTTAAAACAGGCAAAACGTGAAAACAGAATGTACCTCCCCAGTGCAAAACAGCTGTATTTCTCTAACATTAACATCACTGATGAGCAATTTGGGATAGCAAATGAGAGCAGTTAGCCAAGAACAACATTTTGCATTGTTTTAATCACAGCTGCAGTGTTTTTTTTTCGTTCTCTCCAGATTCCCTCCCAATAATGAACACTCCAGTTAATCAAATGCAGTTAAATGACAGAGCCCATTCAGTTTAATGCAATGACATTTTATATCAATAGGGTGATCCCAATTATTCTTTTTTCTTTTTGCCTTCTATTCAATGCAAACAAAATATATTACAGTTGATACAGACTAGTCATTGCCTCTCCTCCACATAATATTAAACCATGTTTATGGGTTGCCTAAAGAGAACCTGGTTGATTTTCGTGTAAACTGAAGGTTATTTTGCCTTTGGGGTGATTTAATGTAGTTCTTGTCTTTTTTAAAGTAGCCTACATCCATCTGACAAAGTAACCAAACTCTGTGACCAGTATAAATATAAATTGCAAAAAAATAATAATTCCAACTAAGCTACCAGTGTTTCATTCTGTGTATCTTGTTTCATTGTTTCTATATGAGAAGGGAAAATAAACAATGCCCGATTTATTTGTCATTAAATGTAGTCTGCACAATTAAAAATTACAGTTGTAACACGATTCAGAAAATTGCTGCATCCCTCCCATCCCCGAATATATCTAGATGATTAAATTTTGATGCTCTTTCTTCATACATGGAATAACTATGTTCATATACATGACCTGGTGTAAGCACAGGCGCAAAAAGAAATACCTACACGAGAAACTTCATGCATTGTTGAAACAAGACATCTGTGCCATGCCCATAATGAAAAGCCTGTGAGGTGTAAATCTAAAGATTTCATCTGAACTTTGAAATCACAGATTAGCATTTTAGACAGAACTACCATTCTAAAGGGGTCTGGTTGGGCATATAGGAAAATTGGAAATCATTATTTTTTACATTTATTTGCCGCCCACCTTGGAAGTGACTCAATGAATCACCAAAACGTTAAACAGAAGGTAGTAATGATGACTGCTGGGTTCATTTCCCAGTCTAGATGCCAATTCTATATCTTTCCCCCAAGGGTGAAATCCAGCAGGTTCTGACAGGTTCTGGAGAACCGGTTGCAGAAATTTTGAGTAGTTCGGAGAACCGGTAGTGGAAATTTTGAGTAGTTCGGAGAACCGGCAAATACCATATCTGGTTGGTCCCAAAGTGGGATGGGAATGGAGATTTTACAATATCCTTCTCCCAGGAGTTGGGAGGGAATGGAAATTTTGCAATATCCTTCTCCCAGGAGTGGGGAGGGAATGGAAATTTTGCAATATCCTTCCCCCAGGAGTGGGGAGAGAATGGGGATTTTGCAGTTTCCTTCCCCTGGAGTAGGGAGGGAATGGGGATTTTGCAGTTTCCTTCCTCTGCCATGCCCACCAAGCCACACCATGCCCACCAAGCCACGCCCACAGAACTGGTAGTAGAAAAATTTGAATTTCACCACTGCTTTCCCCTAATTTAACCTTTCCCTCCTTGATATGTTGAACAACAGTTCCAAGCAGAAAGCACTTAAGATGACCTTGTTGTAAAAACCTCAACCAGGTGGTAATTAATTCTGAACAATTATTGCTTTTAAACTACTACTGGCAATGATTGACTTAGCTCCGGAGAAGCAGAAACTGGTAAAGTTAATATGTGCCATATTTAGAATGGAAATAAAACAACACAAGCATCTCATATGCAATAAAGCAACTTCTTGTTCTCCCCTACATTCCTAGCAAAGGCTGTTGTGGCGTGGGGTGGGGGGATGGAGACTTATTTTAGGACGTTTAAAAATGAAGTTTTCTTTCAAACCCCCACACACTTCTCTAGGTAAACTGAACATTGCCTCAGGTTATGAATGAATTAGAATAATTAAAACAATCACACCTGTCTTGTTCTTATGATCCAGCCTGGAATTAAGAAGCAAAAACCAGTCTGAGGCTTATATCATGTGCTTTGCAGAGTATAATTGACTCAATAAAGGAGGAATGAAATAGGAGCATTTCAGCTACTATTTGTTGGGCTCCAAAACATTTTTGTTCCATTCAGGAAACAGGACACATTAGTAATTCTTGGTATTTTTTTAAAAAAATTACTCTCTAAGGGAAGTTAAGATATCAGCCTATGAGAAATGCTGATTTTAGAGAACTGTTTACACAGCTGAGGCCTTCTATCCAGGGGTGAAATGCTCCCGGTTTGGACTGGATCGCCCGATCCGGTAGCGATGGAGGCGGGGGGTTCGGAGAACTGGTAGCAAAAATCCCTGCCCTCCCCCATGCCCAGCTGAGCCGCGTGATCATCAGAGGCTTTTTTTTTTTAAATGCCTCTGACGATCCAAGCTATGACGATCCAAGCCGAGTTGCCTGATCGGCAGAGGGTTTTTTAAAAAGCCTCTGACGATCAGGCAACTCAGCTGGGATCGTCAGAGCCTTTTGAAAGCATGTTTTTACAACCTCTTCACCGAAGAGGTTGTAGAAAAAATGGTATTAAAAGTAAAAAAAAAAAAAAAAGGCCACGCCCATCCAGTCACATTACCCACCACCACCACCAAGCCACACCCACAGAACCGGTAGTAACAGATTTTAGATTTTACCACTTTTTCTATATACCTTGGAAGGCAACCATTTCTTTGAAGTTTATTCTTCATCAGTGAAAGGAACACTTCAGGGGTGCTGTGTGGATTTACATGGAAGGTTGGCTTGAATAATTTATTTCACTAAAGGATGGGTTTTCTTTGTTAGAAAACCTGGCCCCCAAACCATCAGAATGCTCCAGAACAGTACAGGTAATTCTTGACTTATAACCACAATAGAGCCTGGAATTTCAGTCGTAAGTCATTGCAATCGTAAGGTGAGGCACCATGTGACCAAATTTGGTTTTATGGCTGTCATTAAGTGAAACATGTGGTCGTTAAGCAAATCCAGCATATCTAATGGGGTTTTTTGCCATTGCAAATCATGATCACATGACCACGGGGTGCTTCAACCAGTCGTAAATGCAAATCAGTTGCCAAGTGTCTGAAATGCGACTATGGCAAGGGCGTGTGGCAGTCAACTGGTCATAAGTTGAGGACTATCTACAATGAGTTTAGAATAGAATAGAATAGAATAGAATAGAATAGAATAGAATAGAATAAATAGAATAGAATAGAATAGAATAGAATAGAATAGAATAGAATAGAATAGAATAGAATAGAATAGAATAGAATAGAATAGAATAGAAGGGACCTTGGAGTTCTTCTAGTCCAACCCCCTGCCCTGAGTTTATAATTTTTCCATACAAAAATCTATTTCTAGCTGTTCTTACAAACTGTTGTAAGTCCAGGGCTGCCTGTACGGGAATTCAATAAATACTTCACCCTTTGGCACTTCAAGTTCTCCACTCAGAGAAAATGAGGACACAGAGGGGCTGATTACAAGGTTATACTTTACTGGGAAGGGCAGCTCCTGCAATCAAATGGCCTTCAGATGTGTTAAATTAAATATTCCAACTCAGCTGCTGTGAGTGGAAGGCAATGCTGATTGAGGATGATGGAATTTATAGTCTAACACCTCTTGAAAACATTAGGCTCGGAGACACTTCTTTATTCGTTCCCAGTCTCTATGGTCATTTATGGATGCAAAGATCATAGCACCATGATCTTCTAAAAGCAACTATGTCATAGACACCCCCCACCCCCCCCAAGTCTCTCTTTCACATGCATCTTTTCCTGAAAACAACATCAAGAGAAAGATGGCAGGAATGAAAAGTTGTAGCAAAGCCAGGAGGAGAATGTATTTGGGATATGGGAACACAAAAATATTACTTTTTTAATAAATGAGATAAAACAAACTAGGCTGCAGTTCCAGGTTCTTACCATCTGATTTTTGCACAAACTGGGAGATTCCATCTACCCAAGCTGAACACGTTTTGCTGAAATATTCATGTCCATACATTTTTTCCAAAGGTTTTCTTGTTTTGTCACTCCATTTTGAAACATCACGGATACCTGTATGTAATGATAAAATACAGTTTCCCCCTCAGTATTATCTCTGACCTGGTATGCAATTTTTAAATGCCTGTCTGAGCATTTTGAACCCACAGGGTATTTTAAAAATGATTAAACTGCTTGAAAATAATTAGAGACTCTTTAAATGCATACAATATACCTCATATTTTGATATGTTGGCTGCAGAACTGAGATTTTTATATATTTTATATTATTCTTAAAATGTATATTCTGAGGAACTGAATCAACCAATGACTTATTTGAGGAGGTTAAACGCAAAAACCTCTTTATTCAATTTGGATTATCCAATTTATTCAATTAATTATGGTCTTCGGAATTTCATCTGATTACTTGGATTTGATCCATAGAAGTTTATGATATGCTTTAGTAACATTTTTTTCTACTCTCCAGGCATTAAAAATATCTCTGGGGTTATTGTTGCTCCTGTAAAATATGACTACCTCTTTGGAAATATTTGCATGGGAAATGTGTTTGTAATAGGCAGAAATGTTTAACAGATTTCTAGATTATCGAGAACCATAAGGCAGGATTTCTAATGACTTCAACGAACAATTGTCACTGTAGAACATTTAGATAAATATGTAATATAAGCACAGAGGGTCTATAACAACTCACCATGGACAACTCATCACAAGACAACTTGCCTTGGCCAATTCACTGTGAGACAACTCACCACCGCAGGACAAAAAAATAGTCTAATTGAATCATTAAAGGATGCCAAAGGAGGGACGAAATAAAATGTGAATGACAAAAATTAAAATATTTTTTAATTATTTTAAATAATTGAATTGTTGAATTGTCCCACAGTATAGTTGTCCCATGGTGAGTTGGCTGTGGTGAGTTATCTCATTCTGAGCACAGAGATGGTGAACCTGATTCCTTCATGTTTATAAATTATGAATGTAAGAAGAGGACTTTGGATCTTACATTTTTAAAATAAGGGATTAATATGATTATTGTATTTTCTCATCATATAATTTCCAGGCACAAAATGAAATTTACCTAATTAGAATGTATATTGCCTCCCATCACTTTCTACATTGAGACTATAAATGAAGACATAATTTTCTTCCTATCTATAGGCAGCTGCAAGGGGATGCCAAAACACATATTGTGACATCACAATGGAAACCATGTAACCCATTATGTCTACCTCAGGGTTAGGTTTGTGATATTTCCTTATTTTTGGATAATTGTGGTTTGTATAGATGCCAATATAGCCGTGATGGCTAACCTATGGCACATGTGCCACAGGTGGCACACAGTACCCTCTCTGTGGGGAAGTGAGCTGTCACCCCAGTTCAGCTGTGCCACGCATGCGCGCGCGCCTCCTGCCGGCCAGCTGGTTGTCGGGTCTCTGCCGTGCATGTGCGGGGGGCAGGGCAGGTGCAGAGGGGGCATGCACGCATACCCGGGGGGTGGGGTGCATGCGGGGGAACAGGGTGCATGTGCGGGGCCACATGCACATTGCATTTTGGGGTTAGGGCGCCCGAATACGGGTGCACGCTTTGGGCACTTGGTCCAGAAAAGGTTAGCCATCACTGCTATATAGTCCCATCCATACCTCATTTTTTTCATTTAGTCTAATAACTAGTTTTAGCAAACTCAAAAGCTGCTTTTATATCCTTTTATGATAGTTTGGTTGGTGGTGTAATATATTTCAGGATTCTATACCTAAAGCATTAGGCACCTTCAGAAAAGGCATTTGTATCCCTTTCATTTAGCTCTTTGATTTAACATGGAAAATATTGCCTAGATCCTGCTCAGCCACTCAGTAAATTGGTACAAAAGGACTTTACATATAGTGGTGTTGAACAGAATGTACAGTTTCATGTTTCAAAATTACACAGACAACTATATGAAACTCATGAGCTATGCAAATCAATTATCACAGGGACACATTTGAATTAAGGATGCGTAGGAAGGGAGTTGTTCAAACTGAACACTTCCTTAGAGAAAGTAATCAACATTTATACCATTTTCATATCCAGTGTCTTTAGCAGTTAATGTAGCCTATTAAATATTTATCAACTTCAGATGCTTTAAGCAACATTAGAACTTTGTCTTACAAACCCATTTCAGAAATCTTAGCTCTAATACTTTTTACCAAGAAAGTAATGTATCCATTTAACTGGCATTTGCTGAGTAGAAAAGGAAAAAATGTATAATTATTGTGTTAATTGGATTATTTTCTTCCACAGAGTAATCTGTTATTCAAAGATTGTAACTACTTTTATTTCTTTTGCCTGCTGCGCTATTTCTCATTAAGAGAATCTAGATTTTTCTTGAAAAACAAAGTTGTAGTAATTGTTTTTGTGTTTCATTTGTTAGCCATACACCATGCTGCTTAATTAAGTGAAAGTATCTTGTTTGGTTTGCTGGGTTTTAAATTTAGCTTGGTTTAGAATAAGGCTCAAATGAAAATCTCTCATTCAGTTAAATGCAGTTAATGGGCAAAAAAAAAGAAGAGAGAAATGCAAAATACTTTATTTTTGAATGATTTTTTTTTGAAAATATATTCTTTTAAAAACTATATTTATAATATGTGCCTATAAATATTTATATAAGTCTAGTATGTATGTATGTATGTATATATGTATGTATGTGTATGTCTATGCATGCATGCATGTATGTATCAGAATTTAGCAGTGTGCCATATGCAAATGCTCTGCTGCCAAAGTATCTCAAACTGATTTAGAGATGAGGGCATAAATCATGTTTCTGAGGTCCTTCCCCTCCAGGTACACCCTACCTCATGCTACTGGATGATCTCTTCCAATGGGTTCATGTACATGTTAAATAAATAAGGGAGAGATTTAAACCCCATGGCAATGCATATCCCCCAAATATTGGTTGAAGGTCATAAATGACATCTCATCTCACAGGAAATGTTTATTTCATCAACATCTACAAATGCCTTCTGACATGACACTGCAGGATATTACCCCATCCACACTACAGAATCCGTCCAATTGGCTTCCAACTGCAAACAAATGTGAATTTTATCTGTCAAATGCCTTTCTAAAAGGTTGTAGCAGCCCTCTAGTGGTTCTTTCAGTTATTCTTCCCTGACACAGTCCTGGTCACCCTAAAAAGGGTTGCTGGATAGCATCCAATAGGTAAGTGCAGAGAAGTTATAATGTAATGAAACTCCCTCTGGAAAACCCATGGGATTCATCAAGTGATTAGGGTGAACTTCTATCACTGATCTATCCTCTCTACAGAGTTTGATGGTGCCACTTAACTCCATTGGTGATCAATTCACAACAATAGACTGATTTCAACATCCTCCACTTCTGAGCTGCTCTGGAACATAAACTAGATCCAATGTGTGGACTCCTCTGTATGATGTACGGCTTATGATGACCAATCCATGGACAGGCCTGTGGTTATCATAGCAACCAAAAAAACTCAAGGCACCTTACTCCATCAGGAAGACTGAGATTATCAAGTATTAACAGACTGGGAGACTCAACCACCAATCCATCATATTATATTTCAGTTGAAAATCCTGAAGTATAAATAGGATTTTGGCATTTTTGTGTGAAATCGCACAACATTTTTATTTATTATTAATTCTGGTGTCCAAAGCACTGCACAAGATCACACAAGTCCTGTGTGACCGATGACCACTAATGGTATAAATTATGATATTCATATATTATTGTAATGTGAAATGTATAATTTAAAAGTTATATGGATTAAAATATGCATTAATATCGTATTGATTCATTTAGTACTTAAATATTTTTTTCTTACAGTAGCCTTATGCTTTAATATAAATTCTCATTGTTATTAATTTAAATTTATTATAGCTGCCCAACTCCAGTGGAATCTGGGCAATGTACAAAACAGGAAAAAATCCATAAAAACAGATAAGACTTAAAATCACACAGAAAGTACAGACTAAAACAATTTAAAAATGACACAAATCAAAGTAAACTAAACAAAACACGGTTCCTGAAAATACAATATTTTAAGCCCAGGCCTGGGACCAGATATTAAGAGCTTTCTAGAACCCTAGGAGAGAGGACATTCTCCTCATCTCTGGGAGAAGGAATTTACTACTGTTTAAAACAACAAAAAGAAAAGAAAGCTAATTTGGTGTACTGGTTAGAGACACTGGGCTATAAACCAGGAGTTCTAGTCCTGCCTTAAGACACAAAGCCAGCTGAGTAACTTGGGCCTATCGCCTTCTGTCAGTCTAAGAAGGCAACAAGCCACTTAAGTTGCCAAGATAACTTGCAGTGACTTGTCCAGATTGTTGCTAGAAGTCAAGACAAACTTGAAGGTGTACACATATAATCAGACCTACACAACCCCTCCCATTTGTATTATAATACTCTGTGAGAATAATCTTGAGAAACAAGAGGAAGATCCACAGCCAGAGCAACGGTCAGGCAAGAGATATCTCAACTCACAGAAAGAACAGGGCAGTGGAGAAATCCAATTTTTTTTTACTACTGGTTCTGTGGGGCGTGGCTTGGTGGGCGTAGTGTGGTGTAGCTTGGTGGGCGTGGCTTGGTGGGCATGGCAGGGGAAGGATACTGCAAAATCTCCATTCCCACCCCACTCCAGGGAAAGGATACTGCAAAATTCCCATTCCCACCCCACTCCAGGAAAAGGATACTGCAAAATTACCATTTCCACCCCACTCCAGGGGAAGGATATTGCAAAATCTCCATTCCCACCCCACTCTGGGGCCAGCCACTACCGGTTCTCCGAACTGCTCAAAATTTCTGTTACCGATTCTCCAGAACCTGTCAGAACCTGCTGGATTTCACCCCTGGAACAGGGGAAGAGAAAGTGTCTCAGAAGGGACCCTCCCTAGTTCTCTTGGAACAAAAAGGAAAGGAGGAGAGAAGTGCTTTCAGACTTGCAAGATTCTGTTGTTGTAACCTTTCAATAAAAGTAGTGTGACTACTCCTGGTTTGGTTTCCTGTCTGGACTACCTCAAAGGGGTGACAGCAGAGGTGGGTTTCAGCAGGTTCTGACCAGTTCTGGAGAACCGGTAGTGGAACCTTTGACTAATTCGGAGAACCAGTAGTAAAAATTCTGAGTGGCCTCGTCCCCATCTATTCTGTGCCTCCCAAGTCCCAGCTGATCAGGAGGGAATGGAGATTCTACAGTATCCTTCCCATGCCATGCCCACCAAGTCACGCCCACCAAACCATGCCATGCCCACCAAGTCACACCCACAGAACCGGTAGTAAAAAATTTTGAAACCCATCACTGCCTGACAGATACATACCGCTGTAAATTTTCACATCCTCTTCTGTAACATTTGCAGTAGTTCCCCACACCACCATTTTGTGGATCAAATCTGGACATTTTGCAGCTGTAATGAGTGCGGTTATTCCACCATCACTCCATCCCAACAAAGAGAACTACTGAAACTTCAGTGTCTTGTTCAGCATAAGGAAACAGATTGGAAATAACTCATTTTCATAGATGTTAGCTGATACATACCATTGTAAATTTTCACATCCTCTTCTGTAACGGTCGCATTGGCTCCCCAAACCACCATTTTGTGGATCAATTCTGGATATTTTGCAGCTGCAATGAGTGCAGTTATTCCACCATCACTCCATCCCAACAAAGAGAACTTCTGAAACTTCAGTGCCTTGTTGGAACATAAGGAAACAGATTGGAAATAACTCTTTTTCGTGGATGAGGGGCTTGGCCTAAAGTTAACTGATTCTTCACAAGCAACACTTCTCACTGATATAAAAAGAGTTTAACATGGCAAAATTACGGCAATGGAGCTCAATAAATTTATTGAATAATATTACTAAATCATATTATATATTAATATATAATATTCATATTAAATAATATTAAGCGCAACAATGATCAGCAGTTTTGTTTAGGTTGCAATGACCATTGGGCATTCAAATAATAGCAGAAGCCTTGTATCTAGTTAAGTCTACCCAATTTGCATAAGAATGAACTGGTCACTTGACACTAGGATTTACAGAGTTTCCTGTAGAGCAGAGGTCTTCAAACTTGGCAGCTTTAAGACTTGTGGACTTCAACTCCCAGAATTCTCCAGCCAGCAAATTACAACCAGTTGCTGTGCCCCACAATCATGTGATCACTATTTGCAACCTTCCCTGCCCGCCAGCTGGCTGGAGAATTCTGGGAGTTGAAGTCCACAAGTTTTAAAGCTGCCAAGTTTGAAGACCTCTGTGTAGAGGTACAAGGTCAGAAAGAAGTCTGTCCGGAAGCACCAGTGGAAGGATGGATCACCCACAAGGAAAGAGTGTTACCTCTTTCACTGCCCTTGTAATAATCTTCTTACCACTCTTCAATCCATGTGAATAGGTAGAATAACACCAATTGTTATTAGTGCAGTAGCATATTCTCTAGAGCAGCGTTTCTCAACTTTGGTAACTTGAAGATATATGTGGATTTCAACTCCCAGAATTCCTTAGGCTGGCTGGGTAATTCTGGAAGTTGAAATCCACACATCTTCAAGTTGCCAAGATTGACAAACACAACTCTGAAGAGCCAGTTTGGTTTTCAGGAAGTCTTTGACTTATAATGGCAAATGGTCCACATTGCTAAGCAATGAGGTCATAAAACATGACCACATTGCTTTAGTGATAGCAATCCCTGCAGTCGGTTATCATTGTTAGCTGAATTGCACTTTAGGACTGCATTGTTTAATGATGGGAATTCCAGTCCAAATGGCCATTGTTAATCAAGGACTATCTTTATTGCCTAGAAATCTCCAGCAACTTGTCCAGCCAGTCAACAGGAGTCAGCACTATAAAAGATACAAAAAAAGAGCATGTTCTCTACTTTGCAACAGTTCTCTACTTAATCCTTCTTTTTATTTATTTTATTTATTCAAAATAATGAGATATTTTACCTGGATAGAATAGATCAGGGAGAAAGAAAAAAAGCTACTATGGAAACATTCTGCTTATGAACAGGTTCAATCTTCATTCTCATAAAGTTTCAAACCTTGAAGGTTCTTAGAGGTTCTACTTGCTTATTTCCAAACTTAAATGTGCAAAATTTTCAGAAATCAAGAGTTTCAAAACCAGATTTCAAAGAAGCCTGGACGTATTTACCTGCATCAAGTCAACAGCGTCTTTTGCATCTCTTTCAAAAAAGTCTAGAGGAAAATCTCGAATTGGAGGGATTGATTTTCCATATCCTCGAGGGTCCCAGCCAACAACAGTAAAAATCTCCTTGTTCATATTCTTCAGCTGTGGATCAAAATCAGTCTGACCGCTGCCTAAATCAACACACAAAAACACTGCAAGATCATCATAACCAAGAGAGAAACTTATTTTACGCATATTAATATATGTAAAAGAAAAACTAAGTCCCAAAAGCATGATCAAATTAAACTACAGATAGTCCTCAAGTTACGTCCACAACTGAACCCAAAATATATGTTGCTAAGTGAAACTTAGGAGCCTTGATAGTACAGTGGTCTAAGCACCCTGTTATTAACACAGCTGCCTGCAATTACTGCTGGTTCGACTCTCTCCAAGGCTCAAGGTTGACTCAGCCTTCCATCCTTTCTAAGGTAGGTGAAATGAGGACCCAGTTTGTGGGGGCAATAAGCTGACTTTGTATAAATATACAAAAGTATGAAGGCTATTGCTTAACGCATTGTAAGCCACCCTGAGTCTCCGGAGAAAGGCGGCATATAAATCAAATTAAATATATATATATATTAAGTGAGTTTTGCCCCATTTTACGACTTTTCTTTGACACAGTTGTTAAGTGAATCATTGCGTTTGTTAAGTTAGTAACATGATTGTTAAGTAAATCTGGATTCTCCACTGACTTTGCTTGTCAGAAAGTTGCAAAAGCTGATCATGTGACCCGGGACATTGCAACCGTCATAAATATGAACCAGTGGCCAAACATCTGAATTTTGATCATGTGACCAAGGAGATGCTGCATCAGTCGTAAAGGTGAAGAACGACCATGCCACTTTTTTCAATGCCTTTGTAACTTTGAACAGTCACTAAATGAATTGTTGTAAGTCAAGGACTACCTGTATCTTTATGTCTCTTGTCTGACTATTAAGGAAACTAAGAGATCCTCCTCTTTTGCTGCACTATAATCAATTTCATTTGTGAGTTATTCTCCAACCATTGTAAAACCAACCATTTTTCTTGGCTTTCTCCTCACAAACTCACTACCACTGGCTGAATGACTATAAAACATCACTCTCTCTCCAGTGGAAACCTAAGCAGGGTTCTGGCCAGAGTGGGGTTCAGCAGGTCCTGACCAGTTCTGGAGAACCCGTAGCAGAAATTTTGAGTAGTTCAGGGAACCGGTAGTAAAAATTTTGACTGGCCCCACCCCCATCTATTCTCTGCCTCCAGAGTCCCAGCTGATTGGGAGGAAATGGGGATTTTGCAATAACCTTCCCCCGGAGTGCGGAGGGAATGGAGATTTTACAGAATCCTTCCCCTGCCACACCCATCAAGCCACACCCACAGAACCAGCATTAAAATTTTTGAAACCCACCACCGGTTCTGCCTGATGCAGCTAGTATGACAGCAGGGAGAAAAATGCTTGTATCTTGAGTTGGATTGCAGAAGAACCGTTGGAAGGCTGTTTTTATTGTTTGCAATGTGTCATTTATGGATGTAGGAGACGGGACTAGATGTGGGAAGATTTCATATACTGTGCTAAGCTCAAACTAATCAAACTCTTTGATTAAATGGTAAACAAGGTTTTAAAAAAGGGTTGTGGTTACTGAAGTCACCCAAAATTTTCCTATAAAGACAACGTCTCCTTTAAATCAAGTTCACTTTTAGTCAAAGCAGAAATGTGTCTATGTGGTTTGAACATGGTTTGAATTGGAATTACTGGAATTTGGATGTATAAAGAGTTGGTGGAAGGCTTGTAGGTTGCCTGTTCCTGGGGTAGAAGATTTTTAGTTCTTTTGCTATTATTTCCCCAAAAGTTTCCTCCAGTGTTGGAATATTATGATCTCCAGCTAGTTCAGTGGAATTGCAGTCAAGCACCGTTTGAGAATCCTAGATTAAGAAAGGCTGATCCTGGATCAAACATAACTAACAAGTATTTCTACTTTATAGACAATTAAGGCTGCGATTTAAGCAATAACTCCCAAGGCCAAGTCAAGGCAGGTAGAACTTTCCTTATCATTTTATTCACCCTCATTTAGGAAACAGTAATGAAAAATCCTTGGTGAGCTCTTGCTATTATCCAAGAGTAAACCAATCAATTTTATCTCACCTTCAGTCTATTTGGATAGTTAGGTTAATCTATTTAGATAGTTAGATAATTAGTCTTGTCTGAAAGCAATTATTTTAGAGTCATGTATCACTATAAAGAGCTTCTGACAAATGTATCAGTATAGTTTTTGCATATATTTATTATCCATTCCAAATCAGTAGCATAGTAGAAGTGTTAGAGCCACACCTAACATGCCAGGGAGTAGGAGGACAGCATGATTTCCATTTCCAGTCTGTTGGTAGTGCAGGTGGACGCCATTCACTTCTACTTTCGCTGAGGTTATAGCAGTGCTGGAAGAAATAACTCCAATTGTTCAATCTGTTCATATTCCATCCTTCTTCCCAATAGCATACAATACACAATAAGACACTGTATACAACAAAGGTGTCAAACTTTATTCCATTGAGGGCCGCATCAGGGTTGTGTTTGACCTCAGGGGGCCGGGGTGGGCATGGCCAGCTTGACGTCACTCGTGTCAGAGGTGTCTGTGGTGGCCTGACTGCTCTGCCAGCGAAAACAGGTTCCAATCTCCGTTTTCAGCTGGGACGGCTTCCTGCAACCCTCTGCCAGTGAAAATGGAGCTCGGAAGGGCCGCAGAGGGTTGCAGGAGGCTGTCCCAGCCGAAAACTGAGATTGGAAGCTCGTTTCACTGGCAGAGGCACCATGGGCCGATCCTTTGTTCTTTCCAGGGTGGCCCCACAAGTCAATCTAAGCATCCCACAGGCCGGATCTGGCCCATGGGCCTTGAGTTTGACACCCCTGGTATACAGTATGGCTCTTCTCCCTCTTAATGACACAACCATCTAGTGCTGTGATGGCGAACCTATGGCACGGGTGCCACAGGTGGCACGCGGAGCCATATCTGAGGGCACACGAGTTCAACTCCAGCACACATGTGCCCACCGGCTAGCTGATTTTCGGGCCTTCCGCGCCCACCGGAAGTTGAGAAATGGGCTGTTTCCGGCCTCCGAAGGGCCTCCTGGGGGTGTTGAGGAAGGCTGTTTTTGCCCTCCCCAGGCTCCTAGAAAGCCTCTGGAGCCTGGGGAGAGTGAAAAATGGGCCCACTGTGCCATCGCGTGCCAAAAATGGGGGGAGCACAGGAGGAGCACGTGCACGTGCGCAGGAGGGTGGGGCACGGGTAGGCATTGAATTATGGGTGTGGGCACGCATGTGCACGATCCCCCCGCTCTCCCCCCGCTTTTGGCACGTGACGGCAAAAAGGTTAGCCATCACTGATCTAGTGTATTCAAGTGAGGTATAGTTTTGTGTCTAGTCCAACTTTTCAACTCAAGATTTTTGCAACAAGGTATCTCTTAGGCACAAAGCCAGTTGGGTAACCTTGAACCATTCATTTTCTTTCAGCCCTAAGAAAGAGGCAATGGCAAACTATTTCTGGAAAAACCTTCCAAAAAAACTGAAAGGATTTGTCCAGGCAGTCTCCATGAATCAGACATAATTGAATGGAGGGGGGGTGGAATCTGCTAAATGTGTTTTACAAGATTCCCAATTAGCAAAACCAACAGGAATTTTTGAGTGGCAATTCCAACAAATTTTGTGGACATCAGGTTAGCAAAATATATTTAATCACAATAACATACTGATTGATTCACTGATTATTGCTATCAAATTGGAGTCAAGTTGAGACAGAGCTTCTCCTTGGTTTTCTAACCCCAACCTGGACCTTCAGGTCTTCCAATAGTGCACTGATGGTGGAAAAGGCCACAATAGCCACTAAAACCTTTTGCAAATAAGAACTTCTTGTTCTGAATTTGCTCACACCAGGTATTCTCAAATAAACTTGTTGATAAAATTTTCCATGCTGTTAAAAAAACAAGCACAGGCAACAGAATCACATAACTTACTTTCGAAGCTCAAGTCATCCTTTATTACTCTCTTACAAGCATTCTTCCTAATCAAGATTCAAAAATATTGTCAGAACTTGATTCCAGATGATGAACAAGTAGAAATCAATTCATTTCCATTAATTTGAATGGAAAATACCAGAAACTGTTCTAAGGAATGATAATAAAATACAAAACAAAAATCCCAAAACTCACGCGAAAGCAATTTTAGAAAAGATTTCAAGATCTTTTTGCCTTTAAGGAGTTCTGTACTTATTCAACTGGAAAATCTTTCCTCAAACAAATTGAAATTGTCCTAGTTCAACAGAGTGTACCCACTGAAATGAATGGAACATGTGCAAATTAAATCTCACCAATTGCAACGATTCTGACTGAGCCCAGGACCTGCAATTACCTTAAAATGAAACTTCATTTATTTAATTTCTACTAGTAATTGCTCAATGTTGACCTTCCCTACTCCTTTCCCTACAAAATCCTAACTCTAAATGGGTAAGACCTTTGTTTCAATCTGCTGAAAGAACTTCGGAACATAATTTTATTTTGTGAGATTTACAAATATCACTAATGTGGCACAAAAGATAATGAATATTCCCCACTTATCTGGGGTTAAGCATGCACCCTGCACACACATCTTTGTGTGTGTGTGGGCATGCACACACATACACACTTGGAAGCAGTTCATATTTTTAATACAAAAGATCTGAGGGAAAAATCCTTCATCCAAATTTGATGTTGAAATGCCTCAACTTTCTTAGTTATGAATACTACATGCCATTAAGAATAGTATTGCTTTTAAATACTTTTAGTTCTGGAAATTATGCAATACTGAAATCATATACTGTAGGTTTTTCCTATCTGATATCCCCTCAGCGTAATTAGTTTTTGAGAAGGGCGAGACCCGTAGGGAAGAATCCAGATTGGGAGGGGTGATGACATATCTAACAGAGGAGGAGGTAAACTCATTTCACAAAAGGTTCCTTAGTCCAGGGAAGAGGTGAAAGCAGAGGAAAAAAGAGTAGTTGTGCCTTCATCACACTAGGAGAATTGCTTTGGCAAGATTTCATGGTTGTTATACAGGTAGTCCTCGACTTAGGACCACAAATGGGCCCCAAATTTCCGCTGTTATATGAGATATATGTTTAGTGAATTTTGCCCCATTTTTCTTTTCTTGCCACAGTTGCTGCCACAGTGGCACAGTTCTTGCCACAGTTATCACTGCCATTGATAAATTAGCAACTTGGTTGTTAAGTGAATCTGACTTCCCCCTTGACTTTGCTTGTCAGAAGGTCGCAAAAAGGGATCACATTATCCCAGGACGGGACGCAGCAAAAGTCATAAATATGAACCAGTTGCCAAGCATCTGAATTTTGATCACATAATCATGGGGAATGCTGCAAAGTTTGTAACTAGGAAAATTGGTCACAAGTCACATTTTTCAATGCCATTGTAACTTTGAACAGTCGCTAAACGAGCTGTTGCAAGTCAAGGACTACCTGTACTGCCCTACAGGCAAGAAAGTTCATTCTAGAGCTCTCTCTAACTGGTACTTAGGTCCTGAGTTTCCAGCTCAAAACCCTGAGGGCGAAAGAGCAGAGACCAAAGATGACTCTGTTCTATGGGAGGATCGAACTATTCTCCCACTCAATTCATTATTGACTGAATTTTAGAAGGAAGGGTAGGATTGCCTCCGTCAAACAAAAGGAATCAGATTTCCAGGAGCTGTGAAGAGTTTAAATTACATGTCCACGAATTCCAGCTAAGCACAACACACTTAAGCTAAGGGGCGTGCATAAGTGCACCAGAGTGCCTACCGTCCTTGTCCTAATATTCCTTTTTACTTACTCTTTTCATGTATTCAAATTATGTTTATACTTTTACCTGTTATCTTATATATGCTTGACAAATAAATAAATAAATAAAGCTGGTGCAGGGAAAACCTAACAGCAGCATTTGTGCAATTGTTTGACTACCGTAGATTGGGGGTGGTTGGTTGTAGTGGGTTGTGTGAAGCGAAATCCTTTTCTTAGCTTGATATATTGGATTAATACTGTACACAGATTAAGAATGTTGCGGGAACTGGTTGTGCCTTACACAGGTCTCCTTGCACTGGAGGAAGAGACTGAAGAGATGATCTTTGTAATTTACCCTTTCCCCTACAACTCCTATAGGCAAGTAGTGTATAAACAGCAGATCTGATCTGCAGTATATAATAAGAGACAAACTAATTTGCACATGGCTACACACTGTGGACTAAAAGTATCCTACTTTTTCCCTTAGAATTTTGATACAGTACTGTAACACATTTCTGAAAAGCAGCCTGGTTTAATCTGGTGTCCGATGTACCAAAAATGTTGTAAATGAAGGCCCATCATGTTAATTATAAACAATTTTTCTGTCTGCTTGCAAAGAAATCTTGCAAGCAGATAAACTTGCTTCCAGGTAATTATGCAATGGTGCATAGCCCAGAGTATTTTTTTTTAACTTTCAGCTTTATTAGTATAATAAATAGGTCAAAGGTAGGATGGAAGGCTGTCCTTTTTTTTATTTTAAATATATAATTTTATTTTTTTTTAACTCGTTCAGAATCTTATTCTCCCAGACAGCTGTTTGCCTAAAATATAGGGGGGGGGGAATCGATGCAATTCTTCTTCCCCCAATGAACATTCCTGCAGCCTTTGCGGGTGTGCTTTTCCCACTTACCAATATATCATTTCACTCTTAAAAGGCGAGTTCTGCAAAGCCTCCGTTAAAGGAAAGGATCTCTACAGAGCACTAATCTGATCTAAAATCGGATTCAGATGATCAGACTTCGCTCCATTCAAGAAAAGCCTGCGCGGGATCACAAACCTAAAAGGCACACAGTGCACAAATTAAAAGGCACACTGCCAGTAGCAAGACTGCCAAGTGCTTCGGTTGGACCTAAAATCTCTCCAGCTTTGCAATTAAGCCCTCGGGCCCTCTAAATTTATAGAATCAAGACGCCCCCCCCGCCACACCGCATTTCGCCTCTGCACCTCCACCCGCCGAACCGACATTTCGCTCCGGCATTAGACATTCGCGACTTTCCTCTGCGACCAATCACGCGTGCGCACTGCGGTTTCGGCCCCCTCACATAAATAAATAAATAATAGCTTGCGCTATTAAGATTGCAGGTGGGTTCCTCGCGTCTCTCGTCCCATCCCGCGGGCGATTTACCTATAGGCAGCCGTCGATCTCGGGATCGCTGCCAGCGTTGCAGAGCGGGAGAGGTGCGAGAAGAGGCGCCGCAGCCGCCAAAGCGCTGCGCCTGCAAGTCGAGTCATTCTTCCTTCCTTCCTTCCTTCCTTCCCCGCGGTCTGTTTTGGCGGCTCCGCCTTCGTTGCTGCTCTATCGGTTCCCAGGAAAAGTGGCTGCAAGGGGGCGGAATAAGGCAATAGGCTTTTCACTCAAAAGCCCACCCACCAATTGCCGCAATCGTTGACTTCAGTTTTGGAGGGAAGGGGCCGCATTCTTCTCCGGTCTTTTTCTCAATCCAGGGCATTGAGCGGTGGTGGCCCAAGTGGTTAGAATGGAGTATTGCACGCTAACTCTACCCACAGCCTGGAGTTTGATCCTCAAGGTTCACCCAGCTTTCCATCCTTCCAAAGTCGGGTAAAATGAGGACCCAGATTGTTGGGGGTAATATGCTGACCCGGTAAACCGCTTAGAGAGAGCTGTAAAGCACTGTGAAGCGATATGTAAGTCTTAGTGCTATTACTATTCTGTGACAAAGGGGGGACGGAACCAAAGAAAATAGTTTACACCTTTTGTTGGGTTTATTAAATTTATAAGGCCGCCCAACTCTCTCTCTCTCTCTCTCTCAAACACACACACACACACACACACACACACACACACAGATACTCTAGGCAGTTTACAACTTCTAAAAAATCCACAAAAATATAGTAGTCCTCAACTTACGACCACAGTGGAGCCCAAATGTTTAACTGAAACCTTTGTTAACTGAGTTTTGCCCCATTTTATGACTTTTCTTGCCAGTTGTTAAGTGAATCACTGCAGTTGATAAATTAGTAACCCGGTGGTGAAGTGAACCTGGCTTCCTCATTGAGTTTGCTTGTCAGAAGGTTGCAAAAGATGATCATGTGACCCTGGGATACAGCAAGGGTCATAAGTATGAACCTGTTGTCAAGCAGCTGAATTTTGATCATATGATCATGGGGATGATGCAACCATTGTTAACTGTGAATAATGGTCATAAATCACATTTTTCAGTGTTGTAACTTTGAGCGGTTACTAAAGGAACTGTTGTTAAGTCAAAGACGACCTGTATAACCATCTTTTCCCCCTCCACACCAACAGCACAATGTGACCATTTCATCTGCTCCATCTCTGCTGGGGTCCCCAGATGTGCTGAGAAAAACGTATTTTCAGGGCCTTGCAAAAAAACAAGGTGGGGGCCAATCGTACCTCCAGTGGAATTGTGTTCCGCAGAGAAGGGGCCTCACTGAGAAGGTCCTCTTATATGGGCTGTTTTTTTTTGCCATTGATTTAATAGGAGCCCCATCAATCAGTAATGGAACTTCCATATTACACATTACATGTGCCACTCCCTGGGTCTCCAAAACTGTTCCATGTCTCATTCTGGACCAATTGTAGCTTCTGAACACTCTTCAAGGATAGCACCATGTAGAACACATTGCAGTAATCCAGATGAGAGACAACCAGTGACTGAGTTTAACGTATCAAGTAGCAGGCACAACATGCTAATAATCCCCATTCTCATAGGCACTTGCAGCTTGACATGATGATGCAAAAATAAGATATATAATTCAGAGACTTGTACTGCAAACCTCACCCTTTTGTACTTGGACCCCAACATTGGATGCAAGTATAGGTAGTTTTGGTTTAGTAACCACAATTGGGACCGGCAACTTGGCTGTGAAGTAAAACTAGGACTGTGCTTATGCTCTTGCTTAAGTTTTCCTTTGTTTACAGACTTGCAAAGGTGGTAAAAGTGAAGAATGGTAATTCTATTTTTCATCACTGTTGTAACTGAACTGTCACTAACTAAATAAGGCAGGCACTATTACATAAGGACTACCTGTATGTAAATTGCTGGTTTTGCATTGCATTTTTTAAATTTGTCCCTCTAGGGGAAATCTGTGTAATTGCTCTCGGGAATGAGTTAAGTAACACAAACCAGTGATGAAATCTGAACCAGTTTGCTACTGGTTCGGTGGCCACGCATGCACAGTACACGCCAAAAGGAGGCTTGGGTAGGTAAGTACAACGATGGGGGGAATCAGCTACGATGCCTGATTTTGGGAACCTTTTAAAAACTTTTTTAAAGCATTTTTTACTACCTATTTGGCCGAATAGGTAGTAAAAAATGCTTTAAAAAAGTAAAAAAAGGTTCCAACGATCACAGCTGTATGATCATGATATAGTATAGAACACCCATCTTTACTAATGCAGTAGCATATCTTCTGAGATATGCCAGTTTGGTATAAACCATCATATTAGAAATTAGAAGATTGAGTTCTAGTCCCTTCAGCTGGGTGACCTTGAGCCAGTCACTCCCTCTTTGCCCTAGGAAGAAGGCAATGGTAAGCCAATACTTAGAAATCTTGCCAAGAAAAACAGCACAATAGCAGTGGCGGGTTTTACATAACTGAAAGTGAATGATAATCCGGTTTTGTTTTTTAAAAGAGATTCTGGTTTATAATAAGACTAGGAGAACAGCGTTATACCCATTTTCTCTATTTAAAAAATTAAAATTGTACAAATTCATTCAAAATTTGACATATTGTAAAATGGGGAGAGGTATGCACGAAACGAGGGAAAAAATGTTGCATTTTATACCTAGAAAAAAGCCCATAGCACTTTGGAAATTCTGATGAACCATTTCTGGCCAGTTATGGTTTGGCAGAAGCCAGGCCCAGAATACTTTGTCTTGCATTTAGATTAAACAAATCCAGACAGGCAAACAGGGCTAAGTTAGTGGGTATCGCTTCCTATTTCCATTATCAATTCCCAAAATGGAACATCTCAGGGACCAGCCCTACCAGTGCTTTCCTTTCCCTCCCTCATCCTTCTCCTCAGCCACCACCATTGCCGCTAAAGGCCCAGTGTGGTATATACCAAAATCTTGTTCAGCCTTCCCTGAGTCCTCTCTCCCTCTGCTCAGCCACTGTTGCTGCTCTCCCTTAGCTGTGGACAAACCATATTGTGGTCCGTGTCCAAAACAAAACAGCCATTTTGTTCCGTGCACAGAGCAAAACACTCAAAATGTTTTGTCTGTCTCTGCTGGAAAGCATTCTGTTAAGTTTGTAGCTTTTTTGGGGGGGTGGGGGGAATGCTATGAAAACGTCCCTTTGGATTGGCCATCATTTGCTCTTTATCTTCCATTCCTTACTCTGCTTGCATAGAGTAGCGGTCTGCTGGCAGCATTAATACAAAAATGTCTTCTGGAAAAAAGTCCAACCCAGCCAAAATCCTCCAGCTCTTTGTTTGACTTCTTTATCTGCTGTTTCTATCAGAATCCTGGTTTATTTTGATAAAACTATTGAGGAGATCTCTCCGATCGCAAGCAAAAAGGGCCTTGGCCAGCTTCCCCACCGTTGCCCCTTTGCTGCCTTCCTTCATCAGCCACCTCTGGAACATCTGGTAAACTTTTTCTTTGAGTCCATCCCGTTCATAGTCATGGTCAATTTCATCCAGCTCCGGGTCACTGAAGCCCAGTTTACGAGCGCAGTGTTTCCACTTCTTGGACAAGTTGTCTCTCACAAGGTTTAGGTGAACATCTGAGACTAGAGCAGTGCTCTCTGGTGGTAGAAAAAAAGAAAAACAAAATCTTAGTCTTTCCAGAAAGATGTTCTTTGAGGCCATCGGTGCTGTAAGTAGTCCTTGACTTACAACCATTTATTTAGCAAACATTCAGAGTTACAACAGCACTGAAAAAGTGACCTTTGTCTGGTCATTGTACTTAAAACTATTGCACCATCCCAACAATCACTTGGAAACTGGCATGTATTGGTTGCTGGTTGCAGCATCCTGGGGTCTTGTGATTACCATTTGTGACCTTCCCAGCCAGTTTCCAACAAGCAAAATCCATGGAGGAAGCCAGATTTGCTTAACGACCAAGTGATTTTTGCCATGGTTGTTAAGCGATTCATTGCAGTTGTTAAGTGAACCATGTAGTCATTCGCTTAACAACTGCAATGATTTGCCTAACAACCATGGCAAAAAAGATCATAAAATTGGGTGCAACTCAATTAATAACTGCCTTACATAGCAACATAAATTCTGGCCCTAATTGTGGTTGTAAATTGAGGACTAGTTGTGTTGAAACCCCTTGATGGGTAAAACAATGAATGAGCGGGCTATTGATGACTAGTGAGATGTCTGTTGCTATCATTCAGGTTTTTTCATAGACAGAATGGAAGACATTTCCCTACTTGTGAGAAATTTGCTGTATATGTACAATAATAGAACTGCCTCCTCTATTTCCACACAAGAAAGAAACCCAAGTTGGGCAGGAATTCCCCTCACTTGGAGGTACTCTCTGAAACGTGCATCAGAGATGACATTAAGCCGCTTTTTTTTAAAAAAAAATTGATTTATATGCCACCCTTCTCCGGAGACTCAGGGCGGCTTACAATGCGTTAAGCAATAGCCTTCATACTTTTGTATATTTATACAAAGTCAGCTTATTGCCCCCACAAACTGGGTCTTCATGTAATGTTTTAAATAAGATGATCGGCAAGATACGCTGGATGCACACATGCTGTCATGACTATTTGGTGTGACCAAGGATCCCTTCATATGCTTTGTGAAACTGAAAAGGGTGTTTCTGAACTTTTTTCTGGTGATAGAATAGTTTTGGTATGGTTTACTAAAATTTTGGCCACCGGATCTGGGCTGCAAAATTCCGGATGTCTATAGATTAGAAAAGGAAGGCCAACTCTTCTGTATCTCTTTACTGTCATCTGTGGTTACTCCAGGCCAGAGAGGGTAGCTCTACTAAATTTGAATCATGGCCTGCCTGCAAGGAATACAGAATGCCTTATAAAAGATGATCTCTTTAACCATTCCATCCAATAAGGCTACAAAGAATGGTAGCATAGAGTTTTGTCTCCATGACTAACAGTTTTTGAACCCAATTCCCTCCCTTCAGATCTATTCCAACACTTCCTCTGTTTCACTATATTAAAGCCAGAGGTGGGTTTCAGCAGGTTCTGACCAGTTCTGGAGAACTGCTAGCGGAAAGGTTTGAGTAGTTCGGAGAACTAGTAAATACCACCTCTGACTGGCCCTGCCCCCATCTATTCTCTCTCTCTCCCAAGTCCCAGCTGATCAGGAGGAAATGGGGATTTTGCAGCATCCTTCCCCTGGAGTGGGGTGGGAATGGAGATTTCACAGTATCCTTCCTCTGCCATGCCCACCAAGCCATGCCACACCCACCAAGCCATACCCACAGAACCGGTAGTAAAAAATTTTGAAACGCACCATTGATTAAAGCTATATATTGCTTGCCTTGGGATAAACTCATTTAACTAAATGGAAATGCTTTTGAATGGATCCTTACAGAATATTATTATAACTTTCTCCAATGTATGTGTTATAAAACACCGGACATGAAATCTCTGTAAATATGATCAGTAAAGCCGAAATATCAATGATGAGTGATTCTCCCATTAAGGAAGAAAAAGGTTTATTTTTCTACTTACCAAATAGTTTCTGGTATTCTTCTGTATAGTAATCAGCAGTTGCTGGAGGGCTGTTTCCTCGAATATCTTGATTTTTAATTTCTAAATAGTTGTAGGAGCCTATTTGAATTCCAGTACTGTTATAGATGTTGTAGTGTGCAGGTTCTTCTGATTATGGGGAATTGTTTAGGAAAAAAAAAGAAGTGTAAAGACACAGAGACAAAAATATATGGAATAAATAAATACCAAACTGTATGTTAACAGGTATTTTAAATTTAGAACAGTGTTTTTGCATAAAATGAAAATGGTATAATTTCTTCCTCTAGGCATCAAGGACAGATTCAAAGAATCATCTTTACCGGAGTTGATTAGCTGAGTCAGTATGCCAATAGTTTGCCAACATGTCATAGCATATTTGAAAGTTTTTTTTATAATCCTCATGTTTTTAAAGGAGGTATCAATGGCTTCACTTCCTACTTGAATAATAATATTTTTTTAAAAAAAGCCTTTGAGGCATCCATGCCCCTCATGCTATTTCATTCCAGGCTAGGCAAAGTTATGCATAGCAGAAAAGGCATAAATTGTAGTTAGCAAAAGAAATTAAAGGCATGAGATAAGAAAAAATATATATATAGCCAAATCTAATTTACTATTCATTATACCTCTTTATCCTTTCTGTTCTTGTTTTTATCACATCAATACAGCCCTTCATACATTGTCTTTTGTTCTTGAAACTTCCCATCTCTCTCTTTTTTACAGTCCCATTAATTCTATCCACTCCCTTCTAGTTTTGTTATTTTTCATCCAGCTGTTTATTAATTCTCATTAATTCTCTGATAGGAAGTCAGCCAGCAAGCTTCCTGTTCGTGGCCAACCTCAAGAAAGATTGCCTCTCTAGCATTGTCTTTGCTAGCTTTCTAGCTATACTTTGCATTGGCTGGGTGGGCCTGTTAGCAGCTGCAGGGAAAGGAAAGGGAATGAACCTGGGCATGATGGGCAGGAAGAAGGCCTAGGCCTGTTAGGAGTGGTGTGGGGGATGGAAGAGGCCCATACATTAGCTGGCTGATGCCTCCTAGACCATGGAAGTGAGGAGGGGAGGAGGAGTTGCTGTGATCTTAAGGACAGGTGTGCTGCCAATCACCAGAATTTTGATCACATAACTCTGAGGATGCTGCAACAGTCAGAACTTTAGGCAGGGTTCTCAAGTCCGTTTATTCTGGACCATTGTAATTTCAAATGTTATTGAACGTTTGTTCAATAGCAGGTTGTAGGTTGAGGACTGTCTTTATAATGCTCTAATAAAGGGGGGCATTTGATATATACCCCATCCCTGCGGCAAGATGTACGCAGCAGCGGAGCTTCTTGGTCTGCGAGATTTCCCCCTCTCGCAGGCTTGGCCCTTCACGTTATCGAGGGCCTACCTCGATGACAGATTTTGGAATCCTGAGAGGTGGCATGCTGCAAAGAGGGGGCTGAGGGGTTTTTTAAAATTGTCTTTGTGTAAATTTTTAAGGGGTTTGGGGAGGGGCGTGGGGAGGGAGGGTAATAGGTCAGGCTTGGCACAGGGGCACGAACTGGGAGGTGTGGAGCCGGGTGTGGAGGGGCTTAGTGTAAGTAAGGGGTGGGGGGGTTGTGTGGGTTTGGGGGAGAACCCACGGGGGATGGCCAATCCGGCTGTTAATGGTGCCATAGGGGGTACGGACTCTGGGGGAAAGGGGACTGTTAGAATGCCCTCTACTGAGGGCTTCTCCATCAATACGCTGAGTGGGAGGGGCAGGTATGGCGGGAGCAGGGGGCCGTATCATGTAGTGGGGGCACGTGCTCGCTATCTCCAAGTGATTGCGTGCCCCGGTCCCCTTAGCTCTTCCCATTCCTCAGGCTGCTTAGAGTCTCAGGGCCCGAGTCTCCGGCTGATGTTGTGTAATGCCAGGTCCGTAGTAAATAAAGCCCCCCTCATTTGTGATCTTATTCAGGAGAGGGGAGCGGACCTGGCAGTTATTACGGAGACCTGGTTGGGCCATGAGGGGGGGGGGGTTCCCCTCGTGGAGATGTGCCCATCAGGCTTTGTGCATTTCATCAGCCGAGAGCTCAGGGCAGGGGCGGGGGGGGTGGCGGTCATTATAAGAGAGGGTCTTGATCCGAGGGAGACCACTGTGCCTCAGCCGGATGTGAGTCCCTTTTCGTGAAGTGGGGTCGTGGGGTGCAGATGGGTCTGTTGATCACATACCTGGCTCCCTGCCATGTGGCGACGACCCTGCCCGAACTCCTCAGTGTTATAGCTGAGGTGGCGGCTGATACCCCCAGACTTGTGGTCATGGGGGATTTCAACCTGCCATCCATTGGTGAAACTTCTGAGGTAGCTCAGGAGTTCATGGCTTCCATGACGGCCATGGACCTGACCCAAGTAATTCACGGCCCTATTCACATGGGGGGACACACTCTGGACTTAGTTTTTGTCTCTGGTCAGTGGTTGAGTGGCCTTGATATAGGGGATATAGATACTGAACCCTTGTCATGGTCTGACCACTCGCTCCTTCGACTTGACTTTCTGACCGCCGCACCCCATCGCAGAGAAGCGGAGCCGGCCAGGTGGTTCCGCCCCAGGCGCCTGATGGATCCTGATAGGTTCCAGATGGAGCTTGGGCCATTTCCTGAAACTCTAGCTCACAACTCGGCTGATGACCTGGTGGCCGCCTGGGATAGTGCGGCTGCCGGGGCTTTGGACCGGGTCGTGCCTTTGCAGCCTCTGACCTGGCACCGAACTCACTTAGCTCCTTGATTCTCCGAGGAGCTGAGAGAGATGAAGCGCCGGAAAAGACGCCTAAAGAGCCGTTGGAGGGCCAGCCGTTCGGAATCCGACTTGACACTGGTAAGGTTTCATATTAAGACCTACCTAGTGGCGATAAAAGCGGCGAAATCTAGCTATTTTGCCGCTCTTATCGTGTCATCAGATAACCGCCCAGCTGCCCTGTTCAGGGTGACCTGCTCCCTTCTCCATCTGGGAGCGTGGGAGGACCCCTTGCAGGGCCGAGCTGAGGACTTTGTACAGTATCTGGATGATAAAATAACTCAGATTCGGGAAGACTTGGCCGCTGACTGGGTTAGTTCAGAGGAGATGACTGAGGCAGGCCTTGAGAATATTATCTGGGAGGAGTTCGATCCTGTGGCTCCCGAGGACATGGACAGGATCTTGGGACGGCTGAACGCCACCACATGTTTATTGGACCCGTGTCCTTCCTGGTTGGTGCTGGCTTCCTGGGAGGTTACACGAGGCTGGCTCCAGGGATTTATCAACGCTTCTTTGAGTGAGGGTGTCCTGCCGGCTGCCTTGAAAGAGGCAGTGGTGAGGCCTCTCCTCAAGAAGCCATCCCTGGATCCGGCTGTTTTGGCTAACTATCGTCCAGTCTCCAACCTTCGCTTTATTGCGAAGGTTGTTGAGAGTGTGGTGGCGCGACAGCTGTGTGGTGGATGAAGCTGTCTATTTGGATCCGCTCCAGTCCGGCTTCAGACCTGGGTACAGCACGGAAACGGCATTGGTCGCATTGGTGGATGATCTCTGGAGGGCTCGGGATAGGGGTTACTCCTCTATCCTGATCCTGTTAGACCTCTCAGCGGCTTTTGATACCATCGACCATGGTATCATGTTGCGCCGGCTGGAGGGACTGGGAGTGGGGGGCACCGTTTTGCGGTGGTTCTCCTATCTCTCCGACCGGTCGCAATCCGTGTTGACAGGGACAGCGGTCGACCCTGAGGCGCCTTGTTTGTGGGGTGCCACAAGGGTCAGTCCTCTTGCCCCTTCTGTTCAACATTTATGTGAAGCTGCTGGGTGAGATCATCCGTGGTTTTGGGGTGGAGTTCCATCAGTACGCTGATGATACTCATCTGTACATCTCCACCCCAGACCATCCCAACAATGCCTTGGAAGTGATGTCCCAGTGCCTGGAGGCTGTGCGGGTCTGGATGGGGAGAAACAGGCTTCGACTCAACCCTTCCAAGACCGAGTGGCTGTGGCTGCGGCGTCCCGGTATAGCCAGCTGACGCCATCGCTGGTTATTGGGGGCGAATCACTGGCCCCCACGGAAAGGGCCCGCAACTTGGGCGTCCTCCTGGATGCACGGCTGTCTTTAGAAGGGCATATGACGGCCGTGGCCAGGGGGGCTTTTTATCAGCTTCGCCTGATATGCTAGTTGCGCCCCTTTCTGGATCGGGACTCCCTACGCACAGTCACTCAAGCACTCGTCACCTCTCGTCTGGACTATTGTAACGCTCTCTACATGGGGCTCCCCTTGGGGTACACCCGGAGGCTCCAACTGGTGCAGAATGCGGCCGCGCGGGGGATTATGGGAGCGACGGGGCACTCCCATGTGACTCCTCTCCTGCGCGAGCTGCATTGGCTTCCGGTGGACTTCCGGGTGCGCTTCAAGGTGTTGGTGATCACCTTTAAAGCGCTCCATGGCTTAGGGCCAGGGTACTTACGGGACCGCCTTCTGCCACCAATAGCCTCCCACCGGCCAGTTCGCTCCCACAGAGAGGCCTCCTCAGGGTGCCGTCGGCTAGACAATGCTGGCTGGCGACCCCCAGGAGGAGAGCCTTCTCTGTGGTGGCACCTACCCTTTGGAACAATCTACCCCCAGAGATACGAGTGATCTCCGACCTCCGGACTTTTCGTTGGGCCCTAAAAACTCATCTCTTTCAGTTAGCCGGTCTCTCTTGATTTTATGATTTTATGGTTGGTTTTAAATTTTGATATGGATTTTAAATTGATAAATTTTAAACTATAGGCCAAATTTAATTATTTTAAATCTATTTTTAATCGTACTTTATGTATAAATGCTTTTATTTTGGCTTTCACCACCCTGAGTCCGAAAGGAGAAGGGCGATATAGAAATTCGAATAATAAAATAAATAAATAAATAAATAAATAAATAAATAAATATGGGGTGCAGTGCTTCAGATGAAGTCTAGATGGCAACACAGAGACAGAGAAAAGTCTAAACATTTCACTGCCACCTAGCTGTCATTTGAAGTCATCTGAACAGAACGTTTTACTTGTTTATTTTACCTGTAGGTATTCTGCCCATAATAGGATCTGCAAAGTTGAATTTTCTAAAGGGAACCGACTCCACAGGACCTAAATAATTGTACAGATTGTTTCAGAATAACGTCAGTGTCACTGTTCTTGACCTCTATAAGTTTTAAGAGTATAAAATACAATTGATTCTATAATTACCCAAATGAAAATCTGAGTATGGTATTCTGAGCTTTAGTAGGCTGCTAAAAAAACGATTCTTCCAATGGGGCAATATAGTGGTATGGTGGTATATAAGCAAGATTGACTGTTATAAAATCCTGTTTCCAGCTCTCTCAGCTTGTAAAAATCCACCAGTTTGGCCATCTGTGGCAAGTAAACTTTACTTCCATGGGATTAAAGAGAAAATCTTTACCACACATAGTTCATTTTAAAAACAAAATATTAGTGCAGTTTTTAAATCACTAAGCTAGCCATGTCTGGGCCTGACCACAATCCCTTCTTCCTAGGAACTTGAATCTTGAATATCAGTATATTTTCATCTACAGTATTCAAATTTGGATTGAGGAACTTTATTCTTTGTCAAGTCAATGATGCAACCCTGTGTCTTGTTTACAGGTAGTCCTTGAATTACGACCACAGTTGACTGCAACATTTCTGTTGCTAAGCGAGACAGTTAAATTAAGTAATTTGCCCAGGGGTGAAATGTAAAATTTGTTACTACCAGTTCTGTGAGCGTGGCTTGGTGGGGGAGGTAATGTGACTGGATAGGCGTGGCCAACTTTTTTTTAAAAACTTTTCAAAGCATTTTTTTCTACAACCTCTTCGGCCGAAGAGGTTGCAAAAAAATGCTTTGAAAAGCCTCTGATGATCCCAGCTGAGCCGCGCGATCATCAGAGGCTTTTTTTTTTCTTTTAAAAGCATTTTTTCCGCGGAAGAGGTTGTAGAAAAAATGCTTTTAAAAGTAAAAAAAACAGCCTCTGAAGATCACGTGGCTCAGCTGGGCGTGGTGGTGGTGGGGGGCAGGGATTTTTGCTACCGGTTCTCTGAACCACCCACTGCCATCGCTACTGGATCGGGCGATCCGGTCCGAACCGGGAGCATTTCACCCCTGGTTTTGCCCCATTTTACGACCTTTCTTGCCACAGTTGTTAAGTGAATCACTGCAGTGGTTACGTTAGTAACAGTTGTTAAGTGAACCTGGCTTCCCCATCGACTTTGCTTGTCAGAAAGTTGCAAAAGGGGATCATATGACCTTGGGACATGGCAACCATCATAAATACATGCCAGTTGCCAAGCATCTGAATTTTGATCACATGACCACAGCAATACTACAATGGTCACTAAATATGAAAAAACGGTCATAAGCCACTTTGTTCACTGCTGTTATAATTTTGATTGGTCACTAAAAAAACATTGTAGTAAGTAAGTCAAGGAGGACTACCTGTATGTTGTACTGTAATATTTACAATCTTCAGCTCATATGGATGGACAATAGACCTTGCGAAGAATTTCATTCAGGCCAGTTATTATTACAATTTAAATTATTGTAACAACTTCAGAGGTTAAGATGAAGTAGTTAAAGCTGGTTAACTTTATTATTGTGGGTTGCAACTGGACTCTGCTTTTCTTTTTCCTGGCTAATGGAAAGTGGACATGACCACCATGATGCAAAGAGAAATAAGCAACCCTCCAGACTCCCATATGATCTCACTTACCAGTTTCTGTGCTTAAGCTTTGGGGATAATGATATGGATTGTATGGCTTAGCCTGACTGTTTATGCCAGATTCTGGAATTGGTGCTTTATTGAAATTAAAGTTTGTGGCTGAGGGTGCTCCATAGAGATCTTCTGCACTTAGTAGCCTTCTGGGATGTAGAGTTCCTGCCCCCAAAAAGCCATTTGGATCTATTGCTCCTGATGGCGTTGAGTGCCATGGACGACTTGAATGAGCTGCACCGATATTGTTGTGACTCACACTTGCTTGGATGTTTTGAGTTCTCGGATAAATCTCTGGTGTCTGAGGTGTGGCTGCCGCTTTGGCAAATGGGTCATAGGAGACCTTTCTCCTTCTCCTCTCCTCTTCTTGCATTTCAGCACTGTACACAGCAGGACTTTCTGGCTTATCCATCCGGCTGCCATATACATGGTAATTCAATTCATCCTGTAATTTTCGTTGCAAGGTTGCCGGCGGCTCAAAGGCATTTTCACAGCTTTCTACAGGCTCGTTTTCTGGATATGGCTGAAACATGTTTTCATCTACGTTGTTAGCAGTGAAACCTTGAGAACTGTGTAAAGAACCAGGTTGATCTGCGGGATAGATTAGAAATTTGATTTTATCATCAAAGGTTTCATGGAAAAATTCCAGTCACTTTGTGGGCTCTCTTATCGATCAACCCTATTGAATGCAAGATTAAATCCAATATACCGCCACCTTCCTCAACCTGGTATCTTTCAGAACACTGGGATTACAACTCCCAATATTCTGTGCCATTAAGTCCTTCCCCACATTTTGGTATAAATTCCACTGAATGTGGTAAGCCTTACTAGTAAACAGAAATTATATAATCTCTTCGAAACCGCCCCTGCTTCATGGTTTTCCTAATAGTTCAGTCAACCTGGCTCAGACAGACATTCAGCACTATCTGCTATTTTGATGGGGTCTAATTTATCTTAACCGAGATCTCTGAATAGTATATATTTGCTTTATTATGGAAGAATTCTATTCTCCTTTATAGTTTTTGTCATTAGGATAACTCAAATACATTTTGCAGTTAAATGTTTCCTAGCATGGTTGTATGTGCCTGATCCCTTATAGGCCAGCTCATCAAGAATGATTTGAAGATGGTCCTTTCCAGTGGTGTGTTTCAAAATCTTTTACTACCAGTTGTGTGGGTGTGGCTTGGTGGGCATGGCATGGCATGGTGGGTGTGGTAGGGGAAGGATACTGCAAAATCCCCATTTCCTCCCAATCAGTTGGGACTTGGGAGGCAGAGAATAGATGGGGGCGGGGCCAGTCAGAATTTTTACTACCGGTTCTCCGAACTACTCAAAATTTCCACTACTGGTTCTCCAGAACTGGTCAGAACCTGCTGAAACCCACCTCTGATCCTTTCCAAGGCAGCACCTCTAAAATCAATAGTTATGGGGCAAGCTGAAAGAGGGCATTTTCAATTAAAATGTCCCAATCTTCAAATTCCTTCCATTTTACATTTTCATTAGAGACTTGGAATGTAACCCTTTCCAGAAATTTTGCTACTGTGATTTCTAATCAAGGTTCAAGATTGTCCTGTATTATGTTTTTCAAGCTATGTTGAATTATTTGTGGTTTAAGTGGTGGCTGGGAATTGAGTTAGTGCCCCAAGACCCCTTCCTTATATTTGTTAGCTTGATTGTTTCCCCAGGTGGACACCCTGTAAGTGTGGGCACATTGGTTGTATAACAGCCACTTTTGGTAAGGTGCAACAATAAAACTGACAGGCCTGGAAGCCATCTTTTTCGTTGGATCTTCAGGCCTGCCACATTTACTAGTGTGGGAAACTGGGAGGTGGATTGTATGGAGACAGGGTGATATATATAGTCATAATAACATTCCTTTCTCAGAAAGTCAAGAACATTTTGCCCTGCACCTGGAGGGCTGGAACAGGGAGGCATCTCCACTTGGGACGGTGCTTGGATTGGACCATGTGATGGACATGGGGGTATTGGGCAATGACTTGAACTTTCCTTTGAGCGGGGAAAACCTGGAAGCTTTCAGATTCGGGTTTTCCCAGATGTGCCAATATGACATCGGTAATAAAATGGAACTTTCAGGAAATTCAAGCCTCGGAGTTTTCTTTCGTTGGGGGGTGTTACTTGGAACCCTGACAAAAACACATTTTTTAAAAAAAAGGCTTGAAACTACTGTAGCAGCCAATATCAATAGTATTGGCACAGACTTATATACCACTTCACAGTACTTTACAGTCCTCTCTAAGCAGTTTACAGAGTCAGCATATTGCCCCCAACAATCTGGATCCTCCTTTTATCGACCTTGGAAGGATGGAAGGCTGAGTCAACTTTGAGCCAGTGAGAATTGAACTGCTGGCAGTCGGCAGAATTAGCCAACAATACTGAATTCTAACCACTGCGCCACAGCTCAGTGCAAGTAGGAGCTCATTCCCACCTTGTCAGACAGGTGCATTTTGCTCCAGTTGCAGATTTGGGGAAAAGGGTAGAAAATGCAAAGCAGTTACAGTGGTAGTACATAGGAACTTTATCTAGGAACATTAGTAAGCACAGAGATTCCTGGCAGTCAGTCAGAGGCTCTGAATGACATTAGCCAATGATTAGAGATAAGAATAATAATTTTAAAAATAGTAAGGGTATTGGATTCCCCATTAAACATCTCTCTCTCTTCTCTCATCATGTAGTTAGAATAAGAATAATTTATTTTTTAGTAGTTAGTAATAGTTAGACTATTTTCTGATTGCTAAAGGGAATATAATCAACTCTGAATCTGTGATTATAGTAGTCATGAATCTGCTAGAGATTTTGCACCTGTTAAAGAGTCCATGGCATTACAAAAAAATAGGAATGATCAAAAGCTGAGACTTAAAGTAACAAAATCCAGCCTGTCATGGATTTTATCTTCTATTGAACTTTTTCTTTAAGAATTCGCCATGACAGAAATATGCCAAGTAAAATAACACAAAGGGAGAGGCTTTGCTGGAGGGGTCATGTGATAGTATATTCTAGATCTCTAAGAAGGTCTCGTTAGTTTTTATTTTATAATCCCATAGGTTCAGAAATGTTAATTTTCCTAGGCATGGATCTCTAATATAGTTTTTAGTTGGAAGGTCATGGCTGATTATCAGGCATCACTACCCCTGGAATCTGTTGGACCAACAATAGTGTAAACTGGATATAAATAAAATAAAATAAAATAATAATAAAATAATAAAATAAAATAAATTAATAAAATAAAATAAAATAAAATAAAATACCAGATCGAGCTCTGCTGGGAGGTTCTGACACAGCATCTACTTGGAGAGATTCCATCCGTTTTACAACGCCAATTGGTTCAGGATATATTTCCTATTACACAGAACAAGAATAACAAAAAGTGATGAAATTGTAGGAAGAATGTAGCTTTAATAGGAATGCACAATAGGGTACCTTTCAAAGGTAACCCTGATGGATTGTACAGCTATGTGTTTGATAACTTACCTTTAATTCTCTCACATGGTCTTCCACATCCTGTTCAAAGTTTTCATGGTAATATGGGCTGTAAATCAAATTTATTTCTACAATAAAAGAATTAGTGAAAAAATTGAAATAAAAATCAGTGACACTGTCACTAGAAATGAGAGGTGTAATTATGTTGATTTAAGTTTGCACACCATCTAAGTTATGGTTAGAATTAGAATTGCTTTAAACTAGCATTGTCCCTTGAGTTCTGTAAAACAAAAGTTCTAGCATGTAGTTTTCTCCTAAATTATTTTAGTACTAATGGTTACACAAATGATAAATAATAGACCTGGCCATAGATTCTGTGATATATAGAGCTACGCTTAATACAGATAGTCCTCAACTTACAACAGTTCATTTCAAAGTGACAACGGCACTGAAAAAAGTGACTTATGACCATTGTAGCATTACATTCAGATGCTTAACAACTGACTCACATTTATGATGGTTGCAGTGTTCCCAGAGCCACATGACCCCTTTTGCGAACCTCCTGACAGACAAAGACAATGGGAAGCCAGATTCACTTAACAACCGTGTTACTAATTTAACAACTGCAGTGATCCACTTAACAAATGAGGCAAGAGAAGTCGTAAAATGGGGCACAAATTTCTCACTTAACAACATCAATTTTGGACTCAATTGTAGTCGGAAATTGAGGACTACCTGTATTCAGATTTAGCCGGAAACATGCTATGTATCTGTAAATCATTGAAATGAAAATGTGTCTATATAGTTATTCAGGGGAGGGTGGATCAGTGCATATGCAAAAGCTCCATGTAGGGAAACCCCTCAGTTATTCCCTGAAAATAGACTAAATAGGAACGGGATGAGGAAAAACAAAATCACTGTACATATCTTGTTATGTAAATTCTTATTTTTTGAGCTTTTAGTAATAAGTGTATCTATAATTCTCATTATGTTACTAAGTTGCATTCAAGTTCCTACGGATAGTTTCAAACTGTTACATAGGAGAGATGTGGATGTTACAATTTAGTGGAGAAATCATTTAGATAATTTATGATTTATGAGCTTTTAATATAATGCATGAAAACCAGATTCTCATAGATTTCAAAAATCAGGAAATCTATACCATTCCTTTCCACTAAGTTTTTAGAAGGTATGTAAAGTTTTTTTCCCCCCAATTCTAGTTCAGAAAGCCTTTCAGCTCTTGGTGTCCATATTGTTTTGATATGTACAGTGAATGTTGGGTTGCATGAATCACAATGCTGTATAACATATGGGATGGGTTGCTACCAGTTCTCCCCGGTCCTTGCGAACCGGTAGTGGAAATTTTGAGTAGTTCAGAGAACCGGTAAATACCACTTCTGCCTGGCCCCACCCCCAATCTATTCACTTCCTCCCGAGTCCCAGCTGATTCGCTAGAAGGAAAAGAACTGTTTAAATTCTTGCCGCAGGGCTTCAAAGGGCTGCCCTACAGCTGATCAACGGTAAAAGGCAGTGTGGTGGTTGGTAGACCAGTGCGCTCGAAAAACAAATGGGTAGACCAGTGCCTCCAAAAACAAATAGGTAGACCGGAACGCTCCAAAAACAAATAGGTAGACCGGAACACTCCAAAAACAAATGGGTAGACCGGTGCACTCCAAAACAAATGGGTAGACCGGTACAACTCTGCAAGCAGTTAAAAGCCTGTTAGACCAGTACCTCTGCTAAATCCTAAAGAATTGTTTGTCACGTGACCATCAAACCATGCCCACAAAATAAGCCCCGCCCACAGAACCAGTAGTAAAAAAATTTTAGAACCCACCTCTGGTATGGGAGAGTGTCATGTGCACCTTGCCTAGTTTCATTTTTGCTGCTTATGGAAATCGATCCACATTTTCTTTATGCCCAGTTGTGCAATACCATGATCTTTTTGCCTTGCTATAAATAGTTAGCAGAAGTATCTTGTATTACCTGAAAAGGTTGGGCGATCATTTGACTGTTGCTGCCAAGAGCGTTCCATTAAAATAATAATCTCATTTGGACAACTGTCTTCCACCTCTTTGATAGGTGGCCTGTTCCCTGCTGTGATGCAATGGTACAGCTGTGTATCATTGACCGCATCTGGATGAGGAAGAGAGAGAAGAATTGGGCATCAGTAGCATGACGCGGGCTACATGCAGTGCAATATTTTATAAAGTAGAGATATTTGATCGTAAACTCTTACTTTCATAAGGTTCTTTGGAGGCAAAAATGGCCCATAAGACAATGCCAAAACTGTAAACGTCTGATTTTTCCACAGGCGTTGCATTGATGTCCTGCAGATGTTCTGGGGCCATGTAGGAAAGGGTGCCAGCATTACACTTGGAATTCTGTTTGATTTTCCTCTGTCGACTGGTCTCTTCTTTAGTCAGCCTGCTCCAGTTTTTGAAACAAGCCACACCAAGGTCTGCTATCTACAAGACAGATGAGAAGAGAGTTTTAAGAAGAAGGGAAAGGAGAGGGGTCCACAGAGGGCAGGATGATCTGTCCCTTTTGTGTTTGGGTCATCATGTGACATGCGCATACAAATGGACCGGAGCTTTTGTTGCAATTAATGGTATTGTTTCCATCACTTTCACAAAAGCCTCTGATCCTCTAGATCGGGGTGTCAAACTCGATTTCATTGAGGGCCGCATCAGGGTTATGTTTGACCTCAGTGGGCTGGAGTGGGTGTGGCCAGGGTGGGCATGGCCAGCTCAATATCACTCCTGTCGGGGGCGCCTGTGGTGGCCCCAGCGCTCTGCCAGCGAAAACAGGCTCCCGAGCTCTGTTTTCAGCTACCACGGAGTTCTGTTTTCACTGGCAGAGGGTTGCAGGAGGCCGTGGCAGCCTAAAACAGAGCTCAGGAGTCCATTTTCGCTAGCAGAAGCACTGCGGGCCGGTCCTTCACTGTTTCCAGGGCGGCCCCATGGGCCAGATCTAAGTACCCCGCGGGCGGCATCCAGCCCCTGGGCCTTGAGTTTGACACCTCTGCTCTAGATCAGGGGTGTCAAACTCTCAACGACACATTGCAGTCCCGTGACATATCATTTTTCCCCTTCGCTAAACCGGAGGTGGGCGTGGCCAGCCCATCACGCATCCGGCCCACGAGCCACAAGTTTGAAAACCCTACTCTAGATGCCTCAGAACACGGCTCAGCTAAAAGCAACCAAGACATGCTTACTTATATTGAGTGTTTCCAATATATTTTGATATATCATCAAATATGATAGGTTTCTCTGACCAGCAAAGCAAAAGCAATATTCCGATGTAAACAAGTTGGAAAGATTTGCAGTACCATAGGAATATGGTTTAGACCAGGGGTTCCCAACCCCCAAGCAAAACCCTGTCCATGAGATGCAGGCAGTGCACAAAACCACATCCCTCTGGTCCACAAAAAAACCTCTCTCCACTGAACCAGTCCCTGGTACTCAAAAGGTTGGGATCCACTGGTTTAGACTAACTTCTGGGGAACACATGGTAAGCTGAAGACATCTGTATAGATGTCTTCATGTATGTAGCAGATGTAGCAGAGCCAAAGACTGGCAGAGATTAAAGAATTGGTGAGTAGACCATTCTTCGGAACCTCTCCAAATATGGAAAGGATGGGAGAATCACCCACAAGTGCTCCAGATGGCTGCTTTTGCAACAGCAGCCATCTCCCACTGGTTTAAGCCCTGGAAAAGCTTAAGCATCAAAAATAGCCTATTAAAGCTATTAGGAACCTTCAGAATAAATTTGAAAAGTTAATAGATGAGTTTAGCTTCAACTCTGAACAAAAGAAAAATTACAAGATTAAGAATTTAAATAATTTGAAATAAACAGCAGAAAGCTAAATAAGAAATGTATACATGGATTAAGGGTTCAGATAATTTTGGAATATAGCTTCTTGTGGGAACCACAATTATTTTGGCTATCTTGGCTCATATTAAAGATAAGCAACTCTGATTTTAGAAATTGGACACTGAGGGACTAAAGATTCAAAGTATAGTAGAAGGGAAAAAAAAAATAAGCCAGCTTTTGGTGTCAGTTAATTGGGACTTACAAAATTATACAAAATGTCACAACACTGAAAATATTAAAGGAGATCTTTGAAGAATGGAACCAACTTGTTCTTGCTGTCTGTATAATAGCCAGAAGTGTGTGATTTAGATAGCCCTTGCTGTAATTTTGTTGAATGGCTTTTTAGCCTTATGATTGGGCAGGAAATCACTAAGTCAGAAATGTTTTTGTCTTTTGATTCATGCCTTAAAAACAAACAATAAAATAGAATTACAATGACATACAATCTAACAACATTCATCGTCCACTGATCCCCAATCTCTTTCACATAATCCATAGGCTCCAAAGACTGTGCGGCTGAAAATCCCCCATCTTCTGGTGCTATTTTAGTCTTGCCCAATGAAATCCTAACTCGTGAAACTCTTAAAAATTAATATTCCCAGATCACCAAAAATTCTGCTGACCTGACCACAGGAAGAAGCTGATCTGGCAGAATGCAAATCCAGATCAACAGTAAAAGCTGAAAAGCTATGATGGTGGCGCTTGTTGTGACCAATACTTCATTTTCTAAGTCCCATTCTAGAAACCCTGTGAAATATTTCAAAAAGTCATTTGAAGAAGTATGCAAATTAACACTACCACTATTGCTTTTTCCTCTTCCAACCTAGTTCTTTCCCTTTAAAGTCATACCTTTTAACAGAGGTGGCATGTGATTCCCAGCTCCCCTTTTGGTAGCCTTGGAACCACCATAAAACATAACTGCTGAAAACAGGGAGAGACAGATGAAAAATCTGGTGCAAACCCTAAAATATGTAAGCCACAGTTCACTGTGAAGAAAATCCTTAAAACTGGCTTCCATTCTGACATTCTAAAATCTATGCTCAAGTTGTGATTGAGCACAATTTTCAGACTTTAAGTCTAGAATAGGCCTAGAATAGGCAACCTGGTATTTTCCAGAATGGAATGGGATAACTTGCCACAAACAACTCATTGCGGCCAACTTGCCATGGGACAACTTGCCATACGACAAGAGTTACACTAATATCAAAGAAATAGCAGAATAGAATCATTAAAGAAAGGATGCCAAAGGAGGGACATGAATGAAATGTGAATGACAAGAATTAAAATATTTTTTAGACTGTTTTAAATAATTAAAATTGTTGAATTGTCCCGCAGTGAGTGAGTTGGCCATAGTGAGTTGGCCGCAGCGAGTTAGCCATGGTAAGTTGTCGTAGACCTTTCCAGAGATACCGGTTTCTCCAGCTAGCCAGCACAATCAGTAGCAAGACGTCAAGACCATTATAATTTAGAACAGGGCTGTCAAATTCAAGGCCCGTGGGCTGGATCCGGCCCGTGACGTGATTAGATCAGGCCCGCAGGGCTGCCCTGGAAACAGTGAAGGACCAGCTAGGCACTGATCTACAACTTGGTGGCGGCCATCCGGGCCAGAACGCGATCAGCCTTAGATCCGCAGGGCTGCCCTGGAGCCAGCGGGGGGCTGCCCCCCCCCCTCAGCATGTGCCGGAAACAATGGATCCCACAGGCACCCCCTGACGTGAGCGACATCAAGATGGCCACAACCACCCAGCTGTGACCACCCAGCCACAGCCCCCCAAATCAACCACAACCCTGATGCAGCCCTCAATGAAATCGAGTTTGACACCCCAATCTAGAATATCTGGAGGCCAACATGATGTCTAACCTACTTTAGTTTTATCCATCTGAACTTGCTGAAAAAATGGATCTAGAAGTGACATCATCCATTCGGAAGTCCTCAAACTCTTCCACCCAGTCTGGAGTGAGTTTTCTGCGTGAAGAAAGTCTTTTGCATACCCACAATATCTTTCCCTTTACCCAACACAAAAATCTTAAAATGACATTGCAGGAAGGCAAAGAGTAAACAGTCCGATATAGTGAGAAAGGAAAATGGAGTTCCTGTACCACAAATCCATCTAGTGAAAGTTAAGTCCCCCCAATCACCCCTTTATAGCCTAACAGGCAAACATACATTTAACAAACACTTGTGGTTCTGATTTTAGTAGAAACTGAAAATGTGTGTCTGCGTGTTCATATTACCTTGATGTGAAATTCTTCATCCACAAGAATATTTTCTGGCTTCAGATCCTTGTGCACTAAACCTTGTTCTGTTAAGTAAAGCATTCCTTCAACAATCTCCAGAATAAAGCGTCCTTTCACAGGCAAAGGAATAGGAGTCTATAAGAGGGGAAAAAGGAGTTCCAGAAAATATTGATTACAGTTGGTCTAGATATCTACAAAACTGAATTTACCAGGTCAGATAGCAGGTCATAAAAAAAGTTCCTTCATTATTCAGACCCATTAATATAGGACGTTGGCTAAGCATGATGTTTTATTTTAATCCAACAAATCTGGAAGGCATTCACTTGGGGGAAGGTTTTCAAATCACTCTTATAAATTTGAATGGATGACTTGTAGCTTTTCCCTAGCTGCAGAAAACACACATCTGGACTCAACCCAACTTCTTATATTGCACTTTCCCCATCATTCAGCAATCCCGTCATCGTATTGTATCATTCGGCAATCCCATATAATAAACCCTACAAACACCCATTGTTTGGCAATTAAAATCCAAACCATTTTCATGGCCATACAAAAAAATGTCACCTCTAGCAAATGGTAAGATTGAATAACATCTCCTAGTTTTTAGGCAATTTCTCCAAAATGACCACTGGATTAAGTTGCGAGTTATCAATATATTTCCTACTTACTGCTTTTAGAACAGACATCAAGTCTCCTTTGCGTATGTATTCAATCACAAGGGAGTAGTTTCCATCCTCCATGATGACACCTAGTAGTTTCACCACCCGATCATGATTTAGTTTGTGCATAATCATGCCTTCCTCTAGAAGGGAATTGTTACATCTGGAAAATAATTAATATAGGCGTTATCAAGAGAACTGGAGATCTAATATTTTAAAATCTATGCTCAAGCTGTGATTTTCTGACTTTTAAGCCTAGAATAGGCAACCTGGTATTTTCCAGATAGATTGGCTTCTCCTTGCAACCAGCACAATCAGTAGCAAGACCTCAAGAGCATTCTAATCTAGAATGTCTAGAGGCCATCAGGATGCCTAACTCTGCTTTAGTTTTATTCATCTGAACTTGCTGAAATGAGGGATCAAATTGCAATGACAGCAGGCAGTTAAACACAAGCCATAATCCCCAGTACCACCAGGCCTGTTGCACTACAAGTCTCTCAAACCTTAATCAACCGTGATGTTTGAGATGAATACATCTGCAGTGTACTACACTGCAGAAAACTGGTATAATGAAACTGCAATCAATGCAGGTAAATGAATGAGAAGTGGTCGTATATATGAGCGGCAATTCCTATTATTACCAGTGGTGTATTCTATTGTTTTTACACTATCAGGAATATTAAAGGATCCAGGTTCTTTCTTGTTGGCTTTTCCACTATCCCTTACACTTCAATGTGTATGCAGGTCTGGGGAACAGCTGCATCTTAATCTCCACAATAAATTAGTATAAGACATTATAGGAAGTTAAAATGGCTCCTACGTCATGTAAACGAAAAAAAGACCCTTTGAAATATATGGAGATATTCTATAGATACCTAAATGAATCCTCAACTGGTGCCTTTTGCAGAGCCAGGAGTAATGAACCACTTGCAGCAAAAAATAGCTGAAAGTCTGCAAGATCAAAAATGCACACAATAACTACTTTCCTCTGTGGTTCTGAGCTCAATGAGACTTAAATTATATAATCTATTGTCAGCTACAGTGGGGGGGGGAAAGGCCAGAGCTATTGCCCTTGTGTCCTGCTTGGACACAAGAAACTGTGATGGTGCAGTGGTTAGAATGAAGTATATAAGGTTCTTGCCATGAGCAGCAAGACCTCCACAGTCCCTTCCAAGCCTATAATGCTATGTTTCCAAGTATTGCAGGCTAATTCCCCTGACTGCCAGCAGTTCAATCCTGACCCGCTCAAGGTTGACTCAGCCTTCCAAGATCAGTAAAATGAGGATCCAGATTGTTGGAGACAATAGGCTGACTCTGTAAATCACTTAGAGAGGGCTATAAAAGCAATATGAAACGGTAAGTGCTATTGCTTGTGCACTTTTCTTAAGACAAATCTTGTTTGTCTGGGAGAAGCCAAAGGTTGGGTTCCTTTTACATTTTTATTAAACACCACTGGGAAAATCTTGCTTTGGTAATAATCTTTGGTAATCAAATCTTTAAAAATATAAAGAACAAAGTCAGTCAAGAGACCAGCTAATCTCGTTTGAAATTACCAGGACCCTGATGGCCAATCATTCTGTCTTGCCCTCTCCTATCTGTGAAGAACATTTCTCCAACTTACTCTGTGCGTTGTGGTCCAGTATACACAGTTTTTAATATTACAAGCCCATGACTTTTGTGGTAGCATAATGAGACAGTTCCAAAACCACCAGCATTCAGACGGCGTTTTTCCAAAAAATCCTCCGATTTCATCTGGATGTCATCCAAGTCCATGATTGTGGTTCACCGAGCACTTTAATTCAGAAAAAAAATCCAATGAGTGAAGTGTTAATACAGAAGAGAAGATATTTTATGATCCATCCTTCAATTCCTAATGTAGATTCTGGACAAAGCAGGTACTTTTGTAACCTTCTAAAAAAGTTCAGAAGATGACTTCAACTTCTGCACACCTAACTCAAGTATTCAAAGGTACATACTTAGGAAATGAAAACCCCAAATAAGTTTCAATTTCCTTGACTGTCTCAATCAGAGGTAGATACCCTGGCTTCCTCTAGAACAGTGGTTCTCAACCTGTGGGTCGGGACCCCTTTGGGGGTCGAATGACCCTTTCACAGGGGTCGCCTAAGACCATTGGAAAACATATTTTCAATGGTCTTAGGAACAATTTTATGGTTGGGGGTCACCACAACATGAGGAACTGTATTAAAGGGTCGCGGCATTAGGAAGATTGAGAACCACTGCTCTAGAAGATGTTTTGGACCTCGATTTAATCATGGTAATACTAGAATTGATGGGAGTTACTACCAAAAGTATGCAAAGAGCAATCAGCAGCCTATTCCCTAATTTAAAGAGGTTAACTGATTATGTATTTAAAGACAATAGACGGCCAAATTTTTTCAGTGTAGCAGCTGGATTATCTACTCTCCAAATTAGCCAAGTATGACAAATATTATTATAATGAATTTATACATCAGTGTTCACGTCTATGAAGATTCTCAGTCATCCAGGTCAGTCATCCTCAGTCATCGAGGTTATTCCAAAGGTTCTGTTCAAAAGGTAACTGAACTTCCTTGTTTTTTTTTTTCCTTGCAAGTGTTTCACTTCTCATCCAAGAAGCAGCTTCAGTTCTAAACTTCTTGGATCAGAAGTGAAACATTTTCAAGGAAAAAAATCGAGAAAGTCCAGTTGCCTTTTGAACAGCACTTTTGGGACATCAATGTTCAGTAAGTCTAGAAGACTTCGTATAAGCAGAAACAAAATCAGGAAAAAAGGGAAGCAATTAAAAAAAAACTTATCACCATAGTTTTTAAAATACGTCATGAAGATGGTAGCAAAAACACATAAGCAAGCTGGCTCAGCTGGAAGAAGCCACTTCTGCAAAGGCTCAGCAGCAGTTGGTGAAGAATCCAAAGCTGTAGAGTGCTCTTGCATAAAGTTTTTTCTTTGTGGCATCTCAAAACCATCTCATTGGCCATTGCAAGCACTAGATAATAAACTAAATGGACTTTTTACCCCTTTGAGGAAACTGCCTTATTAAATCAAATTTCTTCATTAAATTAAATTTCTTCTAACTGTCTATAGTTTACACAGATTGTTTTTCAGTCTTATCAAGATGGCAAGGATTGCATCTTGGATCTTTCCCTTATGTAGAAAGTTTGTGGTCTTTCAGAGATATCTCTTGCCCTGGAGACCTGTAGAACCATCTAAAAGAAATCTCCATGCTTCAGAAGAGATGTTACAGAATGCAGAGAATCATGGCATCCCTTTAGAGCATTTTTTAAACTTTCAAGAGATTAGGCTCCACACCCAATTCAAGAAGGGGTTGCTTCAGAGAGTATGGGAAACCCCCCCCCAAATGGGTGCTTTAATAAGCATGGTCTGGAACTCAGCACCAACATTTTAAATAATGTTAAATGAATTAAACAAATGCTCTTGAAAACTCAACCAATTCGGGGACTGACAAAAAGAAGAGACAGAGGGGTGTGTATCAGGAGGGATGAAAAAACACACATCTGCACTATTCTAGGCATGAACCTAGCACACACAGAGTAGAATCAGAAAACTCTGTCACTAGAGTGTAACAGAAATCCAGGCAGGACACAACTAATGCATGGACAAATTGTGTTTTTCTGGAGTAAGGTATGAACAAATTCTCCAGATATATTGATTTAGTATATGGCAAAAATATTAAAAAGCTTATCACAATTACATTCTCAGTAAGCAAATACCTGCAAAGATATTTAGGAGACATACATTGGCATATCTTATTTGCCAGCAAAACACTAGGCACACACTGAAGTTTGCTTCGTAAAGAAAGTGACTCAGACTAAATAGGAGGTGCTTATGGAAGTAAATGTTATATTTTCATGTGTCTGCTCTTGACTCTCATTTTACTTTGTCAACTTGTTTTATTTTTTAATAACAACAACAACAACAACAGTTGTCAAAAACCGAAACATACAATTTATTGACATCACGGTACCAGGAGATGCCAGAGTCGAAGAAAAAGAACTGGAAAAATCATGAAATATCGCAACCTGGCCATCGAAACTACACGGCTATGGATGAAACATGTAACCGTGATACCCATTGTCATCAGGGCACTTGGTACCATGTCCAAGAATTTTATAACATACATCAGCAAACTGCAGCTTCCTGCAATAACACCAGCGGAACTGCAAAAAACTGCGCTACTTGGAACATCATACATCTTAAGAAGGTACTTGGTTGATACCTAGGACGCTGGCAGCAACCTGTATCAACCATTAGCACCAGTCAATGGTATTTGTGATGCATTTTTGAATGTTCAGTTGACTGAGTTTCATATTTAATGAATAAAGAAAATAATAATAATATAAAAAATCAGATTCATTTTATATATAAACCCTTTTGGCACTCTTAAGTCAAAAAGGTAGAATAGACGCTGCTATTGATTTAGGACCTTCAGTTTTCAGAGGACACTTCCTACCTAAACATTGGGCCAGACTTATAAAAATGTCTTCCTTAACAGGAAAACTCTGTCAGATGTGTGAGAAAATTCAGATTTGGTTAACAGTGGGACCACATGCTTCTTAAAATTCTAGGCATAAGGAAGGGAGATTGTATAACACTGTACGCCTTTCCTGGAAGCACCTCATTTCTGATCATTCTGACTTGCAGCTAAACCCACAAACCCGGAAGGGCATTATAGGTTGCTTATTCTTTCTATTTTCTATTCCGATTTTGGTTTTCAGATCCGCGAAGTCAGTTCAGTTCCTTCTTTCTCACACCCAGAGCCACACACACACACGGCCTCGGCGTGCCAACTCGACTTCAGAGGCGTAAAAGGAAATGGGAAGACAGCCAGGGCTGCCTGCGAACCTTTTTTTAAAAGATCTATGGATTTCAACTGCCAGATGGTTCCCCAGCCATCTGCCCCGTTGAACTCCGCACACTTTTAAAAAGTTAGTGACATTGAGAAATGTTTTAAGATTGCAAACGGGAAAGAGGACTATGTACCCTTCCCGGTTACATCGCGGATTTCATAGCTGAGCGGAAGGGCTGGTCTTAAAAGCTCAGACCAGAGAGCCGAGCTGGTTTCGGTTTCATTTTCGCCTTTCCCGCCTTCCAGGTTTTTCCCCCCCTGTCTTTGGATCATTGCCTAAGGAAATCAATCGCCAGTGACTAGCATCCCAAGAGCAAAGGAAGGCCACGGCTGTCTCCAGCCCCTTTAAGAGTCAGCGACCCATCCCTAAATCCTATTCTCTCTTCAGCGGATGCGGGGGGAAAAGCAGGAAGAAATGCAGACGGGACACCAGAAGCGCGATTTCTTCGGGTTAAACAGAAAACCGACCCGATTGCCTTTTACCTATTCTCCTCCAAAGCGGGGTTCACCCGTTTGCGCGCTCCGGAAAGATGGGGATCCCCTCTTGCTAAAATACACCACCGCTTCGCCTGTTTCTTCCTCCTTCGCCCAAGTCTTTCGGGGCGGAGTTAGGCGCTGACAAAAGAGGACGGAAGCTCTCTCCAGCCTATGAAACACGCATCTTTTCGCGGAGGGGTCGGTCACTTTGGACACGTGAAGCCTGGTAGATGTCGAGTCCCCGTTTCGGAAGTCCCAGAGGTTCTGATCTAGAACGTCAGATCATCAAACCAAAACATTATTAGGGCCATAAGATCAGTATTTTTTTTTTTTAAAAAAAGTAAAGCAGTTATAAAATGAAAATAGGAAGCTCAAAATAAAGGAAATTAATGCGAATTTTCAGACCTCAGGAAAGATGAATAGTGCATTGTAGGAAGTTAGCACCCACCACTTTCCTGGAAGAATGAAATATTTTAGGAAATATTAAAAAGGCAGAATATTATGTTTCCCTGGTTGAGAAATGGAGAAACATATTTTAAAGACAAAGCAACTCCCATCTTCCTGCCTCCCCCCCCCACTTTGTAAATGGGCCAGTGGCAGAAACTCAGTCTTTGACAACAAGAGCAACAGAAACTAACAGAATGGGACCCATCTAGGACAGAAACTCACCACATGGCACCTGGGAAGATTACATCGGCCAGCAAGGCTAGCTACGACCCCCATCCCCTGGGAGTCTGACAACCAAGCAGGATGCTCTTTCGGGGCCCCAGGAAGTTCAAAGCCAGAGAAAGCATAAAACCAGGGGACTCACTGTATCTCATCCCTTTTCTGTTCAGGAACTCAAGCCATGTGATACTGTCCACCATAACCATCTTTCCAAGCAGTTTCCATGTTTCCAGTATCTTTTTCCCCACTTGGAGCTGAACCCAGAAGGATATTTCTTCCTACAGAAGAAAAATCCAGTTCCAGTTCCAAGCCAGGAATAAAATGGAGGCCGATTCTGTTTATTGGTGAACAGAACCAACACATATACACACACAGTGTGCAGTTCTGGGACAGCTGACAAAATGGAGCTGAGAGTAGGGTGGGTTTTTATACCTTTTTGATTTCTATGGGGTCATGGCTGGCTCTATAGGCAAAAGGGGAAATGCAGATTTTATCTGCATTTCTAAAAGCTGGCCTCCTCAGTTTCTGCTTGGGTCAGGGAGACTGGTGCTGGTTTCTGCCTCCCTTAAGATTTTTTCCCATTTCTCCTTTGGGGGAAATATTCTATCCTGCCTTTTTAATATTTCCCAAAACATTTCATTCTCTAGGAAGGTGGGTGGGTGCTGACTTTCTACAACATAGAATAGTACAGAGAACTGGGCAACTTGGAAAGCTTTATCCAAACAGTAATCGGATAAAGGATGATAAATAGCACTCATGTTCCATACCAGAAAATTCCTTCATGATAGGATAAATATGGCTCAAAGACTTACTTTACTGAGGCATCCCTACAAGGGCATATATTCTGATAAAGTGTATACTGAAGTTTAAAAGATGATACCAAGTTCTAACGTCCATGGAGTCCAAGCCCATCTCTAAACAAAGACATTTTTAGTGCATGTGGGGATTGTAGGGGTAGATGAGGTAGCTTCATGGATGTTAAGATTTCTAAAAGGACAGTGTAGGAAAACCTTGCAAGATGCAGAGAGGAAGTAGGCATCTTTGGAGTGGAAAAAATTAAGGATAGCTGAGGAGCTACGCTGTGAATCATTTTCCAGATATAGAAAGTGTTTGAGGATAAGAAAGCCCTGGAAGAGCAAACCAAGGTATTTATAAGTATACATCTCTCAATATATCCCCATTAATTTGCCAATTATGAATGTCATGATATTTTTATACAAATACCAGGACGTTCGTTTTCTGACAATGTAGTACTAGTTTTTATTCTTAACAGAACAAAGCCAAACTCTCCGTTTTTTCCTATTTCCACTTGGGAGACGATTAGGTTTTCTGCTTATAGAAGAGCTAGATTCACTTGCCCTGCTAATACAGGGGAGGGATGAGGAGGGAAACAGAGGACTGAGGTTATTGGGTTGGTATTTTGGTTAAAAGGGGCTGAAATGCACCCTGGCCTTTCTGGCCACATTCTGCCCAGGGGCTGCCCCTTTTACACCCTTGGATTAGAGAAAAATAATGCAATTTGAGAAGGGATTGACAATATTTTTCTGCAACAATTAGCAGTGTAGTGATTATTTACTTATATAGGTTAAGTATTTAAATATAAATAGTCCTAGTTTAACAATCACTTATTTAGCAACCATTTGAAGTTACGATGCCACTGAACGAGTCATTTTTACAATAGGATCTCATAGTTGTGGCCATCACAGTGTCACCACAGTCAAGTGAATGTGATTTGGATTTTTGTCGACAAGGTCATACTTATGATCGTCACAGAATCCTGCAGTTACATCATCAACATTTGCGACTTTCATGTTAGCTTCTGATAAGCAAAGTCAATAAGGAAGCTGGCAGGAGGTTACAAATGGCAGTCACACTTCATGGCATCGTGGGGCTTGCTTAATGATGATAACTGGAAGTGCCAGAACTGCTGTCACAAAGCAGTGTGATCACCTGATGTTGTGCTTTATGACCACATTGCTTAGCGATATAATTTTCTGTCCCAAATGTTGTCACTTCCTGTAATAAGAACAACAAAAGAGCAACACTGACTTGGAGGTATTCTTTGTCTAAGACAGTGGATTCCTTCCTGCTGCTTTTTCCTATCCTAGAACCAATGAGGATTAATCAATCCTTTCTCGGGTCTTTGGAAAGGCCTAAGAGTGGATAAAAATGCCAAAATCCGTTCTAAATAATGTCTGACTCCGGATCATACAATAATGATTCACTTGGCAATTTGAGGTGCAAGGGTGACATCGTGTGGTTCATTCAAAGACCACATTGTCTTGACATATGCTATCTGTGAAGCTAGTCCTCAACTATGACCACAACTGAGCCCAAAATTTCTGTGGCTAAGTGAAAAATTTGTTAAGGAAGTTTTGCCTCATTTTATGACTTCTTTGCCACAGTGGTTAAGTGAATCAGTGCAGTTGGTAAATTAGTAACATAGTTGTTTAGTGAAATTGATTTCCCCATTGATTTTGCTTGTCAGAAGGTCGCAAAAGGCGACCACGTGACCCCGGGACACTGCAACTGTCATAAAGATGAGTCAGTTGTCAAGCATCTGAATTTTGATCATGTGACCACGGGGATACTGCAATTGTGTGAAAAACAACCGTAAATCACGTTTTTCACTGATGTAACTTTGAACGTATGACAATGTCGGACATCTTAGGGGACAGCAATCATGCCACATTAGGAGTTCCAAATTACTTAGGGATAAAAAACTAACAGGAATAAATCATTTCCCTGGACTTCAGAATGATTTCAATAAATTCAGGTGAAACTTTGCTACTGTATCATGGCTTGAAATCCTGAAGAAGAAACAGGTTAACAGCAATGGGGAGGGGCAATCCTGTTCTTATTGTCAAAGGCTTTCTCTCCATCTGAAAAACTCCATGCAGCTTGTTTTTTACTATGTTGTTCCAAATATTCCAAACTGTTCAACACAATTTTCTTTCTAACATGATCCTTTGTCTTTTATGTAAAAACCCACATTGATCCTCATGAATGTATTCTTGCAAAATTTTCAGTCTTTCAGCTAGAATCATTATAAACAACTTAGAGTTGGAAGACAGAACATAGTGTTTCATAGAGATTCTGAAAGTTTATCCTCAAAACCTTTAAAGATTTTGTATTTTTGCATAGCCACATTAACCATTAATGCAGTATCTCTGTCTTGAAGTTTCAACATCTTTCCCTCTTTCTTTTCTAGCTCATATGCCAGCCATTTCCTGTGGTTTTTTTTCCCACAAAGTCAAAGGTTGAAGGGGTTTTTTTTGCTTTACATGATTTATTTTCATATCATTTCCGTTAATAACATAGATAGCTGTTGCTGTAAAAGTTTAATTTGTTAAGAGAGATTTATCTTCTCTGGAAATTTCTTTAATCTTTTCTTTTGATCTCATCCAAAATATTTTGGGTTTTCTTTCGCCTCTTCTTCTTGAGTTATTATGTTTTATAAAGTAATCTCTAATAAAAGCTTTACTTGCATCCCAAGGCATTGTCAAATCAAGTTGTAGCACCTTATATTTAACTCATGGATTTTCCCTGCCATACAAATTTAGATATATCCTTTTGCCATTGTTTAAATGCTGCATCAGTTGTCAAAATAGGTATTGTTTGAAACAAAAACAACATTCTAGTTAAAATATTCATCTTAATCACAGAAATTCCTCTCAGTAATGAAAATTGTATTTTCACTTAACATATTTTGTTTACTTTCATTCCATGTCTTAATACAACTATTTTGGAATAATATACAATTCATATTTGCCATAGTGATACCCAACTATTTTGCCTTCTTCTCAATCTTAAAACCTAATTTATCAATTTGTTTGATCTTGAATTTTCATAGTTTTGTTAACATCTTCATCTATATTAATGTTAAAACCTGCTAATGAATCAAATTCTTTTGTCTATTGTTTCAAATTCCTTTAAAGGATCTTTCAGAGCCAATATCAACTCATCTGCAAAAGCTCTTGATTTATAAATCTGTTTTTAAATCTTTACCCCCCAAATCATCTTATCCTGTTTTATGTCTCTAGTCAGTGTTTCAAGAACCAAAATAAATGGGAGAGGGAACAATAGGCAGCCTTGTCTTGTTCCTTTTTTATCTCACATGGTTTTGTTAGATACCCATTAACAATTATTTGTGCTTTCTGTGAAGTATAAATCAATTTTACCCATTTTATAAAGTTATCTGCAAAATCCATATATTCCAAACTTAAATAAGACAGAATTCTAATGGGCTCCGTTTTAAGTGGAGATTTTCAAACTGGAGCTGGAGTTGGAACCATTCCCTACAAGAACCTTTGGTCAAATGACACCTAAAGTACCTTCAAAATTCTATAATCTATAATTTTGCAAATTGTTGGAAATCTTACCCAGATCACCTTCTGCTAGGCAAATAGCAGGGGCAAGGATTCAATGAAATCCGTTTACCTTAGTTTTTCCCTATTCTTCCCACTGCGTTGACCTATTAATCCCATTATTCCATCCAGCATAATTAACCCTATTGTGGTTAATCAAAGTTGCAATGCAACATATCATGACATTCTAAGATTGGGAAGGGGTATGATATGCTGTGGGAATGAATGGAATGATTCAATAGAAACATTATAAATCTAAAAATGCACTGTTGTCTTTCACCATCACAAAATTTCTGCATCATTCTTTTTCTTAATATAAAGTTTTTTTAAATAGTAGATTAAAAACAATGAAAACTAATATAAAGTAAGATAAAAAAAAAGCTAAAAGTGCAAGAAAGGAGAAAAAAACTAAAAGAATAGGAAAGAAGATATAAAGAAGGAGCCTCCAATCTTATTTATAGCAATTTTAAATAAAATTATACATGTATCTCTTATTCTATGGTTACAATATAAAGTTCTTTCTACAATCTGTCCTGTCCAGTCATCAAAACCATAAATCATACATTCATTTTTCCTGTTTTATTGCAAAAAGTCTATAAGGGCTTTTGATTTCCTGCATTAGTCTTGATGCCAAGGAAAAGGGTGGAAAATAAGACAAGATATTCAGTCTCTAATTCAATTTAGTTTTATTAATTGCCTCTGTACATCCCAAGATGGATAGGGGAAATACAGAAGCAAGTATTTGTGGGACAGAGTTTCAGAAAATATTTTCATCTTTTTGCATTCATCTCCCTGTTTTCAAATGTCCCCAAAGTACCATTCCGGGACACAGTGAATAGGTTTCTCCTCCCAAATGGTCTGCAGCCGTTTGACCCATGAAGACAACATCTGTTTTCTTTTCTCTTCTGTCACATACTCGGAGGCAAAGCAGATCTCAGGGGAAAGGACACTGAAGCCACAGAAGTGCAAGATTCCATGCTGGAATTAAAAAGGAAGAGACACAGTAAAAGCCGTAATGTTTGGCTTGTGATTAGACCACAGTTGATGCAGTTAACAACAACAACAAGAACAACAGCAATATTGTAAAGTTGAATTCACAGTAGCTTTCAGGCAAAGTTGGCAAGAAGGAGCCAGGGATAAATTAAAAATACATTCGTAAATAAGCCCAGAGCTCCAAAGCCTTTGTAGATTTGTGTGGGGCAAGAAGTCCTTTAAGAATTCCAATCTCAGATAGGGCTTTAAAGATAATTATCAGTATTTGGAACTCCACTGCACACAATAGGCCAAGTGGACCCTATTCCCTGGTATAATATATATGCAAACAATGACCTATTATGGCTATTCCAATAAATTTCTATGCAGCTCTCATGGATAACATGAGACATAGACATAGCATGTTCATGACACTTCTCAACCATATGAAACATACAGGCTTAGTACAATTATAGTTCATAACTTTATCATCAACCTGACTGAAACATCTATACACCCATTTATCCACCTGCCATTCCATAAACCATTCCAATCAACCAACTGTGAGTGACTTAGAACACCCTAAATTTGTAATTAAAAACAAATGCACAATAAATTTTTAAACTTTTACCAATACGTTAGCCTATAGAAAAGAAGGACTATTTAAATATCATTGTTCTATAACATGGGTGTCAACCAGTAGTGGGTTGCAAAATCCATTGCTACTGGTTCGCTCGTGTGCATGGGCGCACTTGCGCTTGCAAGCGATGCTTCTGTGCATGCACAGAAGCATCCAGCACGGATGGGGAGAGCCTCCCGCTGCCCCCACCGCTACCGGTTCACCGATCCGGGTAGAACTGGTAGCAATCCACAACTGGGACCCCCCTGGAAACAGTAAAGGACCGGCCTGCGGTGCCTCTGCCTGTGAAAATGGAGCTCGGAAGGGCCGCATGCAGTCATTCTGTTTTTGCTGGCAGAGGGTTGCAGGAGGCTGTCACAGCTGAAAACGGAGCTCAGGAGCCCAATTTTGCTGTCAGAACACCCGAGCCACCACAGGCGCCCCTGACATGAGTGAGGTGGCCATGCCCATCACAGCCTGAGGTCAAACACAGCCCATAAGTGTCCCTCAATGAAATCGAGTTTGACACCCCTGTTCTTTAACTTCCATTAATTCAGGCAATTGGCTGTGTTGGCTGAGACTAAAAGCAGTCGTAATTCAGCAACTAATGCAGACTGAATGGAACTGAAAACTTCTTGAGTTCAAAATGACCCAATTCAATTATAAATCTCATGTTCAGTGCTTAGTGAGTGTTCCAGTTCTATTCCCGCCACTGCAGAAGTATTCTGAGCACTAACCTGGACACCCTTTTGAGCTTGAAACACTATTAGAATTATTGGAGCAGAGTTGGGACACTCCTATGAACTTGGGATGTTTTGCCCATCCCTATTAAAGGGCCAAGAAGCTGAACTTTATTTAGCCACCTGAGCTTTATTTAGCCACCTTTGTTTCCCTAAATCAATGGCTGTAGACTGGCCAGCCTTCATATTCCATGTAAGCCAGTATTTGAGGAAAAGAAAAGGAAAAGAATTTGCTCTGAAGAGCTTTCTGTCTCAGTTCCCTTGTGCATAGGATCTACATCTCTAAAACACTAACACTAACATGAAAATGTTTTTATGTTCTCAATTCTGCTTTATTTTGGAAGGTCATTGGCAAAAGCAACATATTTGGAAACATAAAAGGATCCTGGCCGTTTACTGATCATGTTATTCTTCATTTTGTGGGTAGAGGAAAGAAAAGCCAATGCCAAGAAATTCCTCCAATTATGTTTTGAAGCTCTAGTCATATAGAGGGAAAGTAGGACTGCTACCTCTGCTCATACCATAACTACTCATTCATGAAGGCCAAGTCCATATTTCTAGGATTCTTGTTCACAGATTGCTGACTGGAAGATCTAGAAGCTGCAGTCCCAACAGACCCACCACATTGAGGAAGACCACAAAGCAAGAACAAGAACATTGATTGGTTGGGGGAAACAGACATTGCCCAGTGGTGAGAGTAGCTGAATGCTTGTATCAGTCAGCTGCAAAGCATGCTTGCTATAACTGGCTGACTGGGATCTGTTGAAGACTTGAAAGAGGAGTTCAGTCCCTATCTAATTCTCCAGAAGCCAAGCCTGAGCTAGCATTTGCATTTGGTCTCCACATACCTGCATGGGCCAGAGAAGATAATGAATATTACCACTGGGTCCTCTCTTTGAATACATTTCTTCATCTCCTCCAGTGGTAAATGAAAGCAAGGCTAATTTATTCTGTAATGGAACACATGTTTTATGTATATATTCTTAATCAACACTCAATACAACAAAACAAAGCCCTCACAGTGCAACATACAGGATACAGCATAAACCACAACCAAGTTACATAGCAATGTGATTATTTTTAAAAGTAGAACAATATCCTTTAGAATAAATTAGAATAACAACATTTCAGAAAGCTGCATTATGCTTTAAAACTGCTTTAAAGGCCAGTTTCAAAAACTGATTTGACAGAGCTACTGTATATAATTAGAACTTATGAAAAGTCCACAAACAGCCATCTACAAGGTCAGCCAATTGACTGCCAGTTGAGCCAAACTTCATTAACAGGCTATAAGTTTCCATAGGTGAACTCAGGTTAATATGCTAATTATAGGTTGAGTGCATCTGAAATACATTTCATCATTGTAGGGTTTTTTCAAGTTCTTTATTTTGAAGCCAATTTTTCATGCAGTTTAATTTTCGAGATCTTTAATTTGCCACAGATTCAGTGAAAACTTTTTCCCAGTATTTCTAGTAGTAATTAAGTTGTAAGGCAATTTTTGATGTTGCACTGATTCATGTATAGCCTTTCTTAGGAATTTTTTTTTCAAATGTGCCAATTTCTAGAAAACTGAGCACTGCTAATAAAAAAAAAAAACATTTGTAAAGAAAGGCTATAACTGGCTGGCTATATCTACTATCATGATTCTGCAGGAAGTTCACACTTTATATTGTGCAGTTTTAGCAGTGTTATGCCTCATATGAATAATCACCACGATCAATTCTTGAGGATTTGTTAAAATAGATTTAAAAGGAATGTGGTGCCACAAAGAGTTCTTAATGAAGTTTATCAACCTTAAATCAAATTTCCAGAATGCTTATAAGACTTTCTAGACAACCTGTCACATTTAGTATAAATGTTTTATGTAACACTGATGAAATTCCTTTGCTATTAAATATTGATGTAATCTACCTTCAGAGGTAGATTACATGAAAATTTAATTCTGGGAGTTGAAGTCTACACATCTTAAAGTTGCCAACCTAGATGCTTTACCTAGAAATGACTGACCTTGCTTGGGTCTGCAGCAGCGGTGAAATGCTCCCGGTTCGGACTGGATCGCTCAATCCGGTAGCGATGGAGGTGGGTGGTTCAGAGAACCGGTAGCAAAAATCCCTGCCCCCCCCATTGCCCAGCTGAGTCACGCAATCATCAGAGGCTTTTTTTTAATTTTTAAAAGCATTTTTTCTACAACTCTTTGGTTGAAAAAATGCTTTTAAAAGTTAAAAAAAAGCCTCGGATGATCGTGCGGTTCAGCTGGGATCATCAGAGGCTTAAAAAAAAAAGCCTGTGCCGATCAGGCAAGTCAGCTGGGATCATCTGGACTATTGTAACGCTCTCTACATGGGGCTCCCCTTGAGGAGCACTCGGAGGCTCCAACTGGCACAGAGTGCGGCCGCGCGGGTGGTGACGGGAGCAACGTGGCGCTCCCATGTAACACTTCTCCTGCGCGAGCTGCACTGGCTCCTGGTGGTCTTCCAAGTGCGCTTCAAGGTTTTGGTTATCACCTTTAGAGCGCTCCATGGCTTAGGACCTGGTTATTTACAGGACCGCCTGCTACCACCAATAGCCTCCCACCGACCAGTACGCTCCCATAGAGAGGGGCTCCTCCGGGTGCTGTCGGCCAAACAATGTCGACTGGCGGCCCCCAGGGGGAGAGCCTTCTCTGTGGGGGCACCTACTATCTGGAACGAGCTCCCCCCGGAGATATGGAGGATCCCGGATCTGCGTACTTTCCGTTGCGCGCTCAAGACTTTCTTATTTCATCAAGCTGGCCTGACCTAAGTCTTTCCCCTTTTTAAATGGAAATTTTAAATTTGGTTTTAAATTATTGGGGTTTTAAATTTGTTCAGCCAAATTATTTAATTCGTTTTATTTTATTTTAAATTTTGTATCTATATGTTTTATTCTATGGCTGTTAACCGCCCTGACTCCTTCGGGAGTAGGGTGGTATATAAATTCAATAAAATAAATAAATAAATAAATAAATAAATAAATAAATAAATAAATAAATAAATAATCGTCAGAGACTTTAAAAACATTTTTTTTACAACCTCTTCAGCTGAAGAGGTTGTAGAAAAAATAGTTTTAAAAGTAAAAAAAAAAAGTTGGCTATGCCCCCTCAGTCATATTACCCCCACCACCACCAAGCCACGCCCACAGAACCGGTAGTAACAAATTTTACATTTCACCACTGGTCTGCAGTCAGGTTGATATGTGTGACTATTCTGTTTGTGAAATACATTCCATAGTTGAAGGGTTTATATTATTATATCTCCTATTTTTATTTGTTTCCTAATTATACTTTGTTAGTTATCTTCAATATAGATACAAAGATATATATACAAAGGTAGTAATATCAGTAAAATCTTAGTTTAATGTATATTTATAGGCCACCTACCTTGAGTAAACCAGATTCATAACACTTTGGGAAATCATGAGCAAATCCTTGGACTAAGACTCTGTCCATCCAGCCCTTCAGGATGGCTGGCACGCTGAACCAATATAAAGGAAACTAGATAGGAATACAAGAAAGGAGTAATATCTTTGGTTTTAAAATGTCCCATAGACACCAACTTCTTCAGAAAGGCAACAATTGAGCAGGAAGCATTGCAAATAAATATAAATTAACAAAGTCTGGCATTATTATTAAACACTGTGCCTCTAACATGGATCCTTCTAGTTGAGTATAGTGATTGGCCAAACATACCAAAGGTCAGATAGATCCCTTCAGCAAATGTTTTTATCAACATCAAAGATGAGGAACTATGGCCTCTTTATGACTTGTGGACTTCAACTCCCAGAATTCCCGAGCAGCATGGCTGGCTCAATAATACTGAGAGTTGAAGTCCACAAATCATAAAAGGGCCATAGTTTCCCACCCCTGATCTACATCATCTAAAGCAATCGTTTTCCTCAGCTTGTTCAATAATCTTTTAAAAATATCTGCCTTTCTTCGAAAACAAAACCAAATTTATCTATAAGGCACTAGTTGGGAAAGTTTAATCAAAATAGATTAATCTATTGAACTTACTCCCAACCTAATACTCCCTAGATACATGGATGCAGACACTCTCTGTCCCAACCAACTTGACCCCAGTTGGATATCCAAAATGGAAGATGGACTTCAACACATCTGGAGGACAGGTAGCTCAGAATTTTGAAAAACACACTGACCAGCACCTATTGGACCAAAATTTAAGGGATATTTTGAAAGTTCTTAGATGATATGATCAAAGCAAGCACAAACCTAAAATTTCCCTACATCCCAAAGTCCAAAGAGTTGCATCAACAGGATCTAAGCTCTTAAACCAATTTGATCCAGTACCGGAAGTGTCGCATAAATAAGCTTTTGAAAAAATAATGACCTGGAAAATCACCAAGTCGGCTTTGCTCACTTTCCTTTGCTCCTCAGTCAAATCTTCAGTCAGACATCCATTTTCATAAGCTTTCCAAGCCTCAATTCCATAATTAAAATGATCAGGATTGTATAGGTCACCTATAGGCACAACATAACACACAGTCTAGTTGCATTTGAAGAGTTGCCATCCCAGTCTTTTTTTTTTTTTTGTGTAGTATACATCTTTTTCCATATAGAACTCTTGTACTACAGTAAAATGTATTCTTGGGACCCTTTCTTGGGAACACAAATGTACTTCTGCCTCATCAGTGGTGCCTACCAACTATGTCCTTCCTTGTCGTTCTTGGCTCAAATTGCATTTCATATAAGTCTGAAACAGTGACGCTACAGCCTTGCTTCTTCAGTTCTTCCACCGTCAAGGTTTTAAATGAACCATTTAGAGATTTGGGCTCTTGGTCTGCGTACACAATCAATACTTCTTTCCCTGATGCTTAAAAAGGAGAAGAAAAGCAATATTTACCATATTTTTCAGAGTATAAGACGCACCGGAGTATAAGACGCACCTACCTTTTTTGTTTTGTTTTTTTATAAAAAGTTTTTTTTTTATTTTTTAGACAAACACACATACAAACATACAATGTATTTTCTTTGAACAGAGTATTTGGCCGGTTCACAAATTTAAACAGTGTTTAGTCATTTCAATTAAATTTACAATTTCTATATTTCCTTTTTGCCATATTTATTCCTCATCTATTTTTTTTAAAAAACCAATATTACCCTTCATCCTCATCTCTAATCTTAATCAAATTCAATTTTTCCCTTCTATTCTATATTATACCCCTTCCCATTGTCTTCTATTTTTATATCCTTCCTCACATTGGTTAATTATGTAATATTAGTTATTTAATACAAATTCAACATTTTAATATAAATCAATTAGTTATATAACTATCTTTTTTGTATATTAATCAATATGAACATGAATATTCCAATTATTTCCATGCAATTCAATTTCTTACAAATCAATTAATTATATTTACCAATAATAATAAACCAAATAATTTCCCCCATATATTTCTCCAAACCACAACTTAACCATTTCTGCTTTCAACACAATATACAATTAATAGTATCTCAATTATTACAATTCCCTAGTTAAATAGAGCTTTCCCCTTGTTACTCATTTTCACATCTTAAACTCTCCCAATAACCCAAATAGTTTTGCCCATTTAATCCTCCAAATCACAACTTAATCATTTCTACTTTCATCACAATATATAATTAAAAATATTTCAATCGTTACAATTTCCCTAATTAAATTTAAAAATGTTCTAGCTGTTATCCAAGCTACAATTTAATCCTTTTTACTTTCACCACCATATACCATTAAAGGTATTTCAATTGTTACAGTTTATACTTATTCATATTTCTAAAAAAAATAAAAAAGAAAAACTTATCATTGTCTAGTTTTCAAAAATACAAAGACAAATATTCCAATTATTATTCATTGTATTTTTACAATCATGATTTCCCATTTATTTCTTACTACTATTCATATTTCAATTCTAAATATGTATAACATCTTTCTCTTTCATTTCTTTTTCTTTTTCTCCCTTCCCATTTTTGTTTTTGCCTTTTTCTTTCTCCTTTTTTTCTTTTTTCTTTTAAAATCTTGAACTCTCCTCTTTTGCCCTAAATTTCCCATTGTTTACACCTACCTTTTTTAGTGAGGAAAAAGAAGAAAAAGAAATCTCCCTCTGCCTCTGCCTAATTTTTCCTTGCAGCAAACAGCAAACAGCCTGCTTTACTTTCAGTTTTGTTTTCAGCATAGTTTGATTAGCACAAGGGGAAAAAAATCTGCTCCAGCACTCTTTGCAGCAAGCAGCAGAGCCCTGTGCAAAACAGCTGAGGGCAAATCAGCTGAGAGTCGGGAGGCCAATCTAATCAATTTGTGCTAATTAGCCTATGCTGAAGCTGAAAGGAGCTGTTTTTTCTTGCTGCTTGCTTGCAAGGAGGTAACTGCTGCGAGGCACAGGCCAAAGGGTGGGGGCCAGTGGGTGGGCAGGGCTACATATGATGTATAAGATGTACCTAAATTTTCACCCTCTTTTGGGGGGGAAAAAGGTGCATCTTATACTTTCCTCGCACAAGCACGAAGCCGAAGACACCAGCCTGAAGATGACGAGTGGGACCTCGTCGAAACATTGCCAAGATACTCTCAATCTTACACGGGAAAAGACACGAATACACCAAAACTTGCATATATGTATATATGTATATGTATATGTATATGTATATGTATATGTATATGTATATATAATATAAAACAAGGCAATCTGTTTGTTACCCACTGATACCACCTCTGTGCTAGTTCCCTGACCCAGCTAACTTTTTCCCTTATCATTTCTTTAAAAAATAAAATAGAAAGATGGTTCACTGTACCTTTATTTTCCTAAAGGCTTTTGAATTCCTCCTAGACCTCATGGCATTTTAGGAAATAAAAATATTAGGTGGCTGTAATTTATAAATATCACCCTGTACAAACACACACAATGACCATTTGGGGAGAACATCCATAGTATTCTCTAATAATCTTTGCCCACCAGTCCAGTCCCTATGGAAAATGAGGGGATCTATGAGGACATCTTAATTCTTGCCCTCTCCTTTAATAGAAATATGATAAAAGGCAGTACAACTTACCTGCCATTTTTTTCAACACCCTGCAACAGTTTGTCACAGTTATGGTTTTCAAAGATTCTTGTCAAGATTGCTACAAAAAGAAAGATACTAAATTCCTTTCTTTGGTTTTCAAAAACAAACATTACTTGAAGCTGGCCATCTTGTACTAATAATGAGAGAGAACCACAGGGGAAAACAAACAACAGACACACAAACCTAAGCACAAGAACATCAGCAGAAATATCCTAACTTAATAGCTCTTGGCAGTAGAAAAGGAAGCATCTCCTAATTCTCCCTCCTTCATTCCTATCCAAGTCCTAAAGCAAAGCAAAGTAGATTCAGTTTCTCAAGATCTCTGGAGTAGGATCCACCACCTGGAAAAAGGGGAATGAGAGTTTGCTGCTTTTTGCATCCTGATAGGAATGTGGATTCTAGGGAAATGGGAGTCAATGGGAGATCAAACACAGTCTTATGGAGCTTCTGCTAAAAGTTATGGGTCAACCCCAGTTTAACAGAAGTGAAACATCCAACACTTAAGTTGCTGCAACTATTGGAGTAAGAAAATCCAGGACAATGCTAGTTTATCCTTCCCTGTTTCTTCTCCACATTTGAGGATACATGGTGTCAAACTAAGCGGGAGTAAATTCAGTGGATTATTGGTTTATATTCATAATAAACTCACCCCCCCCATCTGTTCATAACACCTAAGGCACAAAACATCTAAAGAAATAGTTTGCCTATCGGAAGGGATGCGATCCAATCTGCCACAGCCTAGAATGCAAGGTCAAGAAGAGGAAACTATTCAACCTACCTACCAGAAAATTAAAAAAACCAAAACAAAACCTTTCAAAGTGTAAACATTTTCACCCACTTTCCGTTTATGCAGTTTTGCCTTACCGCACCGTTGAGTAACTTTCGAGTGTTTAAACACAAATATCGCCACGGAGGAGTTCGGATTCCTGCAATAAAGCACATTAACAGTACCGTTTTATACTATATTTCACGCTTAACTCAGAAGTAAACAACTCCATCCATTTCCGTGACTTTACTTCCAGGTAGCCGGCTTTCTACCTCCGGTCATTCGAAATAACCCGCGCTGAGTATTATTAGTACAGTTAGTTTACGGATCAAATAAGAGTTAGTAAATAATGATTAATGCATAAGTATGTTTAAAGCGTTGGCTGCAACGAGTATTTCCAATTAATATAGAATTACTTATTTCTGAGTAAGGCAGCATATACCATTGGACTATGGGACCATCTAAGATATTTGGATGAATTGCAATAAATGTTAATAAAAAAGACAGTTTAGGTTCCCCCTTTTATACTATTCCCAGCTTTCTCAAACTCTAAATTTAGAATTTTCTTTCTTTCTTTCTTCTTCTTTTTGCAAGCCAGTTTCCTTACTTGAAACTCGTACTGGCATATTAAGAAAACCTAACAACACAATATAATCAAAATTCTTAATAAAAAGTTGTACAGGAGAAGATACTACCAGAATACCAGGCGGACAAGATAGGATCGGATCTTCTAAGCAAGACAGGATCGATATACTTAGTGCGACTAGTAGTGCCTGGCAATTAAAACAACCGGAGTGGTGGGTCCGCCCCTTCCTTAGTCATGGCTCACAATTATATATTTGGAGCGTGTGATTGATCGTTTTCGCCGTTCTGAATTGCCTTGTCAAGCGTAACTAAATTGCAGTTTTCCTGCTTGTAGTAGAGAGGGGGGGGAGGGATATTTCAATTAAAATGAGATTTCTGTGGAACAGCAAGTGAAGTAGATAGAAACCTCGTGCGGCCGATGGGTTCACAGGACAACCGGACCGAAAAGGCAGTGCGTGAGCATTCGTGGATTGGTATGTGGTGTGACTGTGAATCCAGCTGATGTGCACAACACAATGAAGTCCCAGCAAACTAGGAGGGCTGAGTTCGCACAACATGCTAAGCTAAAATATATTTGGCTAATTCGTGGTTCAGTGTACTGTGCAAACCAACCTAACGCTGTTAAATTTATGATTCAGTATGTGTGATACTTCTTTAATTCAATGCACCACAAAAGAATTAACTGAATTAAGGTGTCACAGCTAATTTTCACTAGGTCTCATGATTAGATAAATATGCATAGAACAACTAGTCAGAGCCTCATCATCTGAGGCAGTGGAAGCTGCCTTCTTACTGTTTTCCAAATAATTTGATATTCAGAACATGATTATTAATGTTTTCTCTGTTTAGAACTATTGCATGAGCAATACAAGCCTTACAAATCATAGAATCGGGATGAGAAAAAGTTTTGGTGAGCTTCTAGTCAAATGCCCAGTCCAGAACAGGAATTTTCAGGCCATCCCCATCAAAGGCTAGCCAGCCTTTTCTTGAAAATCTCCAGTGATGGCACACACACACACACACACAAAACTTCTGGAATTGTGGACATACAAGAAATGAGGGAAGGCTGAGAATAGTGAGTGGCTTGCTATGAGCTCTCCTGCCTTCTTGGATCTTTGAATCTGGCACTTCTCAGGCTGAAATAGGACTGAAAAAAACCTCATAAATAAGGAGCAGTAGTCAAGAAATGTGACTTGAAACTACATATTTATATCCTGCTATTTCACTAGGTGCCTCAGAGCAATATGGCTGTCTGCTCAGTCTTAGTATAAGTTACAGAGTACCTGGCTCAGAAATTCAACTAAGCTGTTGTTTGTTTAACAGTAATGTATTGACCAAGTATAGTAGGCAAAAGGAATAACTGGAGGAACAAGAGGAAGAGTCCAAGGCAACAGTCTGATAAAAAGAAATATGGATCCAGGATAGAAATGTAATTTGATAAAGCAGCTCAGACAGACCCTCTCTAGTTTTCCCAAAGGGAAAAAAAAAAGGAGGGGGGGCACATTCAGACTTGCAAGATTCTGCTGCTATAATCTTATAATAAAAGTAGTATTAGCATTCATATCTTTCTATTTTTGAATAGATCTATTCTGAAGGGCTAACTTCTACTAGATGAGTAGGGAACTGCTACTAGATGAATGAGGGAACCCACTTTATAACCAACACTGGATGTCAATTTAGCTCTCATGGATCCTAATTTGGTAGACCAAAGACCTCAAACTGGCTTCTCCAATCTTATAAGATTCACAGCTATTTTATTCCAGCTATTTTTTTTATTGTTTTGAAATTATAATTACATTAATTCTTGTAGCTACATTTAATTTTTGAAAAAATCAGGGTTGATATCACATTCAGGATTTTCCTACTTGATAATATCATCTATGAAACTGTTAGGCAAACCATGAGGAAATCAAATTACAACTTAGTGTAGTTAATTAGCTAAAACTCATTGTGTTTCCAAATTCTATTTAAAAGGCTAGAGATCATTTTCTGCCTTTAAGAACAATGCACTCAAGAGTACAAAACAAAATAATAAATCAGGATAATTACCAGGATAATCAGGTAATAAAATCAGTTTGTATGAAATGCTCTCTTGCAATTGCCGAGCTACTGTCCCATCATCCTCCACAAGTATATTTTTCCTTCCTGGATCTCAACTCCATTGGGCTGATTTAGTCCTCACCAAGTTGTTTTGTCAGGATGACCCTACTATAGAATTTTTAAAAATTATTGTTAAGATGATTTGTTCATCTGCAAACCTTGAGATTCCCCAAGCCTGCTTGTTTTTATGTGGATACAGTTGCTTTTATTACATATCTAATTAAACAGAAGGAACAATATCGTTAACAGTTCCTCGACTAAGATTCTTGGCTTCATTCAACAAAAGATTTCTTGATGGAAAAACTCTGGTTGCTAAAAGAAAATGACTTTTTTGGTCTTTGCAGACAAAGCTATAATGTGGGTTGGGACATGTTTACATCAAGGAGCCTTGAATTGTACCAGCCTGGGGATGGGGATTACTCTCCTGGATTGCCATCAGATGGCCTCAGCTTCGGAGAGGAGTTCAGAGTAGCTGACCTGATTAATAGAGTGAGAGCTCCCACCAGTAGGAAACTTCTGTAGAACTTGGAATGGCCTCCCAAGCTGTCTAGAAGTGCTCTACTCAAACCCAAGCCCTGTGTGAAGACACAGGCACAACTTAGGTCAAGCCATATGGGGTGGTTGAACCCAGATTGGCACAACCACTACTCAGCAGTGATGGGGTGCAAATTTTTTTACTACCGGTTCTGCGGGTGTGGCTTGGTGGGCGTAGCATGGCTTGGTGGGCATGGCTTGGTGGGCGTGGCAGGGGAAGAATACTGCAAAATCCCCATTTCCTCCCAATCAGCTGGGCCTGGGAGGCAGAGAATAGATGGGGGCGGGGCCAGTCAGAGGTGGTATTTACCAGTTCTCTGAACTACTCAAAATTTCCGGTACCGGTTCTCCAGAACTGGTCAGAACCTGCTGAATACCACCTCTGCCATGGAGGGGTCTAAGCTGCTATACTGTTCTCATTAACGGAATCTAGGCATGTACTGTTCTCATTAATGGAAGCTAAGCATGACAATATTCAGCATTTTTCTAGCTCTTGGGTTCATATTTCTATAGACCCATTGTTTCTACTTTTGCAAAAATCTTATAAATTACAGATAATAACCATGCTACTGACACAAAGGTAGAGGCTATTTTTTTTAAAAAAAAATGTATTTGACTAATATTGTGTTTCCCTGAAAATAAGACAGGGTCTTATTTTCTTTTGAACCCCAAAATAAGGGCTTGACATTATGGGGGGGTCTTATTATTTTGGGGGTGCAGGAGGCGCCAGGCAGCCTGCGCACTCATAGCCGGGAGTCCGGCAGAGAGAGGCTCCTTTCGCACACCACCATCAAGCCCCTCTCCTCCCATGGTGTGTGTGTGGTGTGTGTGTGTGTGTGTGTGTGTGTGTGTGTGTGTGTGTAACGCGTGTGGCCCGAAGGCACCAAGCCATGCGAGTGCCTGTCCCCACCCCCCCACCCCCGCTTGCATGCCTCCCAGGCCTCACCACGTCGATGTGGGTGAAGCCGGTGAGCACCAGGTCCTTGAGCTCATAGCCAATGCTGCTGGCGCCCACCACCAGTACCCATGCGAGAGCCACAGCCTAGGCCAGCTCTCCCTGCAGGGTCCAGCTCCAGCCATCACCATAGAGTGGGAAGGACACTCCCAGAGTAGCCACTGCCCTGGCTGGGTTTGGAAGATGCAGAGGCAGACTTTGGGGGAGAGAAAGAAAGATTTCTGCTGCTGCAGAAGTCTTTCTTTCTCTCCCCCAAACTCTGCCTCTGCAGCTTCCAAACCCCAGCCAGGGCAGCGGCCGCTCTGGGAATGTGCTTCCCACTCTATGGTGATGGTCACCGGAGGCCTCCCCTTCCCCCCTGCTCCTCTCCACTCCGATCGCAGGTCCAGTTTACTCTTTCCAGGCTCCTGGCAGTGAGACACTGGGCAGCCGCACCAAGGGCAGCCCTGACAGACACAGCTCAGCTGGCCCAGCCACAACCAACACTCCTCGCCCACAGCTGAGCTTGGCTGCAGGGGTCCTCCAGGCCTCCATAGGTGGTGGCGTCAGCAGCAACATGTACAGCGCCTCAGCCATCCCCACCGAGACCCATGCCCAGCTGCAGGACAAACCAGGCCTCTGTGACTGCCCACCGCGCATGGAAACCTCTCTTCCAGTGGCTGCCCTGCCAAGGAAGCCCCCGGGTGGCGATGCTTGCGCTGGGACTGCTGTGGTGGGCACTAGGTAGCGTGGGCTATGCGGATGTGGTGCCTGGGTGAGAGCAGGGCCACCACCATGGCGCAGGAGCAGGCGCCCGAGGTCTATGGTCAATGCCCTGGGCTGCGAAAGGGACAGGAGATGCAGGAGTTCGGAGGGATGTAGCTGCCTTGGGAGGGTTGGGGGGGGGTGAGGGACCTGTGTGTGTGTGTGTGTGTGTGTGTGTGTGTGTGTGTGTGTAAGAGAGAGAGGGGCGGCTTATTTTCGGGGGAGGGCATATATTTAGGCCCACCCCAAAAATCAGGCTTGGCGTTATTTTCGGGACATGTCCTATTCGGGGAAACATGATACATGCTAGTTAACTCCGAAGCAATTCTGTAAATATTCCACTTCCTTACTTATCTGTCCCAAAGACGTCAACGGTTACTTGGTGGATTTCCAAAATGTGTCTCCTTTTTCTAGGAGCAATATTTTTGTAGGTTCTGAAGTCCCCAGAGATTTCACCTGCTGATTCACTGATATTGCAATGGTAGGCAGGGTGAAAACACATGGCCTTTTGTATTTGTATTTTTATTTTTTTGTAAATAACCTTTGAGAAATTTGTTGCCTTTTAACATTTAATATCGATTTTCTGGAAAACTTAACACAGCTAATTTAAGCTTTAAATTATTTTATTTTTATTTTATTTTATTTTATTTTTCAATTTATATACCGCCCTTCTCCCTAAGGACTCAGGGCGGTGCACAGCCAGAATTAAGAACATGAACTACAAATATTAAGAACAATTAAAATATATATAAATTTGGCCCAAAAATTTAAAAATCACAAACCAATTAAAACATTTTAAAAATTTAAAAATTTCTTCTTAAGCCAGCCCGGCTTGCTGGAAAAAGTGGGTTTTAAGGGCACGGCGGAAGGCACTGAGGTCTTGGATTCTCCTTATCTCTGGGGGCAGCTGATTCCAGAGGGTAGGTGCCCCCACAGAGAAGGCTCTCCCCCTGGGGGTCACCAGCCTACATTATTTGGCTGATGGCACCCTGAGGAGGCCCTCTCTGTGGGAGCGCACGGGTCGATGGGAGGTCGTCGGTAGCAGCAGGCGGTCTCGAAGATAGCTAGGCCCTATGCCATTTTAAAAATAAGAATAGAATTGGATACAGTATTTGCTACAGAGTCTAAAGGCAATATGTTAAACATGGGTGTGTCAGCTACGTGTAGCCCAATATATGCCAACTGCCTACTGTTGGTGTAAGTAAAGTTACTTATTACAGGTAGTCCTGTACAGGACTTTACAACAGTTCATTTAGTGACCATTCAAAGTTACAACAGCACTGAAAAAAAGTGGCTTATGACTGTTTTTCACAGATATGACATTTTCAGCATCCCCATGATCGGGGTGAAATCCAGCAGGTTTTGACAGGTTCTGGAGAACCAGTAGCGGAAATTTTGAGCAGTTCAGAAAACCAGCAAATACCACCTCTGGCTGGCCCCAGAGTGGGGTGGGAATGGAGATTTTGCAATATCCTTCCCCTGGAGTTGGGTGAGAATGGAAATTTTGCAGTATCCTTCCCCTGCCATGCCCACCAAGCCACCCCATGCCCACCAAGCCACGCCCACAGAACCGGTAGTAAAAAAAAATTGGATTTCACCACTGCCCATGATCATGTGATCAAAATTAAGATGCTTGACAACTGGTTCATATTTATGAGGGTTGCTATGTCCCGAGGTCATGTGAACACCTTTTGTGACCTTCTGAGAAGCCAAATCAATGGGGAAGCCTGATTCACTTAACAACTGTATTACTAGCACTTAGCAATAGCACTTAGATTTATATACCGCTTCACAGTGCTTCACAGCCCTCTCTAATCGATCAGAGTCAGCCTATTGCCCCCAACAATCTGGGTCCTCATTTTCCCACCTTGGAAGGATGGAAGGCTGAGTCAACCTTGAGCCTGGTGAGACTCGAGCTGCCAAATTGCAGGCAGCTGGTAGTTAACAGAAGTAGCCTGCAGTACTGCACTCTAACCACTGCACTACCGTGGCTCTTACTTACTAACTTATCAACTGCAGTGCAGGGGTGGGTTCTACTTACCTTTTCTACCGGTTCACAACGGGGCCGCATGCACTCTTCTGCGCATGTGCAGAAGCATTTTGATAACGTCGGGGTCAGTGGGTGGAGCCTCCCACCGATTTTACTACCAGTTCTATAGAACCGGTGTGAACCGGGGGCAACCACCACTGCTGCAGTGATTCACTTAACAGTTGAGGCAAGAAAGGTCGTAAAATGGGGCAAAACTCACTTAACAAATGTCTCACTTAACAACAGAAATATTGGGCTCAATTGTGGCCATAAGTCGAGGACTACCTGTACTAACAGGTTTAGGCATTACCTTTGTCACCTTTTCTACTGAGATGGCTCTATGCTTTTAACATTAATTTTGCTACTGTAGCAGTAAAACCAACATAGATGAAGGTTTTTTTGTGTGACTTAGAGTTTATTTTAAAAAATAGTGTGGTGTACAGGTAGTCCCCAACTTACCATCATTCATTCAGTGACTGTTGGAAATTACAAGGGCACAGAAAAAAGAGACAACTGGTCCTGGCACTTAATGATTGTAGCACTCCCAGCATCCCCATGTTCAATGTGATTAAAATGCAGGCGCTTGGCAACCAGAATATATCAATGACAGTTGCAGTGTCCCAGGGTCATGTGATTGTCATTTGTGATCTTCATAGTCAGCCTCCAAAAAGCAAAGTCAATACAGAAAGCTAGATACATTTAATGACTATGTCATTCACTTAGCAATTGCAGTGATTTGCTTAATCATGGCAAAAAAGGGGGTAAAATTGGGCATATCTCACTTAACAAAACCTGGTTTAGCAATGGAAAGTCTATGGTCATAAATCAAGGACTATCTGTTGTGGTTAAGGTGCACTGGGAGAACCTTTGTCCAAGTCCACCTTCGACCATGGAAACTTACTGGGCAGGGGTGGGTTCTAATTTTTTTTATTACCGGTTCTGTGGGCGTGGCTTATTTTGTGGGTGTAGCTTGATAGTCATGTGACAATTCTTTAGGATTTAGCAGAGGTACTGGTCTACCAGGCTTTTAACTGCTTGCAGAGCTGTACCGGTCTACTCATTTATTTTTGCAGGCACCGGTCTACTCATTTGTTTTGGGAGGCACTGGTCTACCCATTTATTTTTGCAGGCACCGGTCTACTCATTTGTTTTTGGAGGCACCGGTCTACCACCGAACTGCCTTTTACCACTGATCAGCTGTAGGGCGGCCCTTTGAAGCCCCGCGGCAAGAGTTTAAACAGTTTTTTTTCCCTCTAGCCATCAGCTGGGACTCAGGAGGCAGCAATAGATTGGGGGTGGAGCCAAATAAAAGGTAAGAATAACACGGGGGCGTGGCGGGGGGGGAAAGAACCGGTTCGGTGACATCATATTGTCACCGCTACTGGCTTGGCGGAACCGGGAGGAACCCACCATTGTTATTGGGGAACTTTGCCAACAAGTTTCTTTCCCAGTATCTGGAGGTTATGGAGATCTGGATGGGGAAGAACAGACTTTGAATTAACTCTAGCAAGACTGAGTGACTATGGATTTTAGGGCTCCCCGCACCTGGGGACCTTCCATGGCAGTACTCAGTACCCAGAAAGAATGGGTGTTCAATGGGGAAGGGGTACTCTTGAACATTTGGTTGAAAGAGAACGGGAGCATATGGCAGCAATGGTTAGGAAAGCCTTTTCATAATTCCATTCCGTACATAGGAGTGCCCTTGGAGACCATCCAGAACTCCAATGGTCCAGAATACAGTGCTGCTGGTAGTTATGAATGCACCATGGTATATCTGTGAAATCTCTCCCTTTCTGAATTGCAGCACCTGCCAGTAGGTTTCCAGGTGCAGTTCAAGATACTGGTTAACACCCAAAAAGCCCTTCACAGCACGTGATCCCATTCCTTATGGGGGGAACCAATTATAATTTTTCCCCAAGATCTGATTTAGTGAGAGTGCTTCAGATTCCCCTTGATGAAATCGTGTCAGCTGGTGTGACCTAAGAGGCATGCCTTTTCTGACAAAGCATCTACTATATGGAGTGACACCCCCCCTCCAAGATTTGGATAGCTCCCACCAAATTTTTGAGACCTTGAAAACTTGACTCTTCTCCCAGATATTGGTCAAGGATATTGGATATCTAATGGTTTGGAATGTGATTGTGGTTGGATATCCTATAATGTGGTTATCTTCATTTCTAGATTGAAGAATTGCAAGTTGGACAGTCATATACACTTATTAAAAATATCTTGTGATTGTCTGAATACAAACGCTGTTTTGTCTTGTATCAGTAATGAAATTGTGATGCATGTTTTGTCATGTGGCCTCCTTATCCCCCTATCATGGACTTCTGGGCCAATAAAATCTTTTTACTTCCTTTCTGTGCCACTATCTATTTAAAAAAAAAAATCATTTTAGATGTTGAGGTCTGAGTGAAGAAGTAAGTAAATGCTGGAAAAATGCTAATAGAAGATGTCTGAGATTTTAATCAATTTATCTTATTCTCTATTATTTCAATCTATATCTTGCTTTTTCTAACCTGTAAAACATTTAGGAGAGTAAATATGAATTTTTTTTAAAAAAAATCAGGAATTACTGTATTTTTCACCCAAAAGTGGGTGGATATGTCTGTGTGTCTTATAAAGCGAACGTTGCTGAAGCCCCGCCTACTCGCCTGCCCCCGCCCTTCAACCTTTGCCTCCCAGCAATTTGCCTCCTTGCAGAAAATAACAAACAGCATGGTTTAGCACGAGCAGCTGATTGGCAGTTGGATTGGCCTCCCAGAATACTGCTGATCAGCTGTTTCAGGCTGCGTGGATCGCTACCACACATCACCGCCACCGCTTATTGCCGCCTCTGTGTGCCCCATTTTCTACCTCTATGCATCCCATTCTTGGCCTCTGCATGTCCCATTTTTGGCCCATTCCAGGCGGCGGGGATTGCTGCTGCCGCTCGCCGCCAGCAATCCCCGCCGTCTGGAATGGGCCGAAAACGGGACACGCAGAGGCCGAAAATGTGGTGATGGTGATGGTGGCGGTAGGTGGCGATAGTGGCGGTGATCCCTGAAACCTGGAACAGCTGATCGGCGGTATTCCAGGAGCTCAATCCAACCGCCAACCAGCTGCTTGTGCTAAATAAGGCTGTGCTGAAGCTGACCAGTGTCCATTAAGGTGCTGTAAAAAAAGTTAAGTGGCTAGGTTGAAAACTAGTACAATTTTATACATTCTTAGTATGACCACATCTGGAATACTGCATCCAGTTTTGGTTGCCACATTACAAAAAATATGTTAACATTTTGGAAAAAGGGCAGAGAAGAGCAACTAACATGATTAAAGTCCTGGGGACTAAAATATATGAAGAACGGTTGAAGGATTTGGGTATGGGCAGTCTAGAGAAAAGAAGGGCTGGGGTGACATAATAGCAGTATTCCAGTATTTGAGTGGCTGCCAGAAAGAAGAGGAGGTCAACTTATTTTCAAAGCACCAGAAGGCAAGAACAATGGATGGAAACTAATCAAGGAGAAAAGCAGCCTGGAATTAAGGAAAAACTTCCCAGCAGTGAGAACAATTAACCAGTGGAACGGCTTGTCTTCAGAAATTGTGGGTGCTTCATCACTGGAGTTTTTTAAGAAGAGATTGGATAGCCAATTGTCTGAAATGGTATAGGGTCTTCTGCTTGAGCAGGGGGTTGGACTAGAAGACCTCCAAGATCCCTTCCAGCTCTATTCTGATAAAGATTAAATGTTGGTCCTCTTGAGTCCCAAATCAATTGTATACTGAGAGAGACATCTGCCTGCGAATATTGGCGCTCCTCTTACATGCATTATTATACAGAGAAGAAAATGTTGCTAAGGATATTCCCTCCCTCTTACTCCCATTACTTTAATGTATTTCTGGTTAAATACAGATTAGCAGAATTACTGCATCTCTCATGTTCTGAAGATCAATTTAAAGGTGCCTCTCAGGTTTTCTTTCGGCTGTCTGCTTTCCATTCTTTCAGAAATATGCCACTAGAGGGAACTGTATAACAAAGCAACTTTCCATGCTGGTAGATTGCGCAATCTGTGCAAAATTTCCTTCTATTTACTAGTAAATTGACTGTTTATATAGAAAGGTGCATAAGTGTTTAGAGCACCTAAATTGCAAAACCCTTTAAATTAAGAGATTGCTTATAGATATTTTCTTCAGATCCAAAATATCTTCATTGAAAAATTGACCTTTGTTTTTAACATGGACACACACACACGTTCCTTTACAGCTCAGAGGTTTGTGTCCTCGTTTCAAACTACATTGCTAAACCAGGTATGCTCATACACTGCTGTGAAGAAAAACCCATGGCTATTGGAAGAAATTTCAGGCAGGTGCTATGTTTACAGCCCTGAAGCTTTCATGGGCCTTTTGGAGTAGACTCCAAAGCACAGCATAATTGTAGTTTTCAGTGATTCTTTATGGACATCTGGATGCAGAGAACATTACAGTTTAGCTGTCCTTGGACTTTGCCTTCTATCAACCCCAGCTAACAAGGCCAAGGAATGTGGGAGTTCTGGTTTGCAAATATCATTTGGGCAAAAGATTGTCTTGTTCTGAACTGAGACAACTTTTTCCATGTGATGGATCCCAATTTTAAAATATTTAGGAGTTTGTGAAAGTGAGGTCTTGTCAGGATCAGCCTCCTTTCATTATCCAAGAAAGAAAAAAACCCGACTCCATTTTCATAGAGAAAGATAACTTTTACTGGATAAGAACTGAATGCAGTCAAAGAAAAGCAAGGTCTGAAGCAAAGGCGTGAAAATCACATATAGAAAGCATCCCCCCCCAACTGTCCAGCATAAATCATCCAATCCACAGGTTCTCCAGGGGTCATGTGGGAGCAAACATCTGGCAGTGTCATCCTCTTGCTATGACACGACCGTTGACCTTGAGACGTTATCAGCTTCAAAGAAAATGCTGCAGCAAAGAATTACTTTCCTTTTCCTCCAGCTCGCTTCCCCCCTCAAGAGTCCCAAGAGCTCCTCCCTCCCCCTGTTTCATGGCAGCCAAGCAAGCAAGCAATGAAAGAGTGGAGGCTGACAGGTCTAGTGCTGTTGAGCAACCCGTATACTAGAGAGAGAGAGAGAGAAAGAAAAAAAGAAAGAAAGAGAAAGAGAAAGAAAGAAAGAAAGAAAGAAAGAAAGAAAGAAAGGAAAAGAAAGAAAGAAAGAAAGAAAAAGAAAGAAAGAAAGAAAGAAAGATGAAATCAAAGGCTGACAAAGAAATATTCTGGCATATGAATATTGGAATATGGGAATGGAATTAATTTCAGTTTAATAAAAGATACAGTTATTTAATAAAAGAAACTGGTGCTTGTCAATAGGCTAAGTTTGCCTTCTGCTGACATGTTTAGGAACAGGTATGTAGAATAATAACTTGAACACTCCTGAGAGGCTGTAGATTCAAAACCTGAAAGAAAAAGAGCAGGGCCAATTTAAGATATTTAGCTATCTTAGATAAGAGATGAGATGGATGAATGCTATTCCATGTAGAGAATTATTTGTGTAAGTCTCCTCATGAATACTTGATAATATCTCTCCAGGAGAATGGTTCTCTACCAAAGCTAAGGGTAGGAAGCAATCCAGACTCCTCACAGTTTGGGTCGTCAACATGGCCATCTGTTGTCTGATATAGTCAATTCATCCTGCATAATTGGCTTGAACTTACTGCAAACTGCTTTTGCTTTTCATTCATTTTCATTTAGATGGCCATCGTTCTGAAAATTGTCTACATTAATCATGCTCATTAGTCTCAATGCAACTGGTCAACATCATTAATGGAACCTTATGGATGACTTCCTAATCTCCTTCTTCTACAGAATAACAGAATAAAGCGTTTGAAGAGATCTTGGAGGTCTTCTAGTCCAACCCCCTGCTCAAGCAGGAAACCCTATACCAGTGATGGCTAACCTTTTTGCCATCGTGTGCCAAGAGCGGGGGGGGGTGCGAGTGTCACATACACACATGCCCACACCCATAATTCTATGCGCCCCGCCCCTGCACATGTGTATGCAAACCCCCGCTCCTGGAACGAGATGGCATGGTGGGGCCATTTTTTGCTCTTCCCCAGGCTCCAGGGCCTTTCTAGGAGCTTGGGGAGGGCGAAAACGGCCTTCCCCACCCCCGGGGGGAGGCCCTCTGGAGGCCAGAAACAGCCCATTTGACAACTTCCAATTTCCAATTTCCGGCCTCCAGAGGGCCTCCGGGGGGATGGGGAAGGCCGTTTTCACTTCCCCAAGCTCCTAGAAAGGCTCTAGAGGCTGGAGAGAAAGAAAAACGGGCCTCCCCCCCCCAAGGCCCTCCG